CACATCAACGATGATTTAGGGCTTTCCCAGCTGCTAGACCAGTGATGGCTAACCTTGACACCATAAATTGTTTCTTGATTAAATTTCCCATGATGCTCAGCTTGCTTTTAGACTCAAAAAGCTAGCTGAGCATCATGGGAAATGTAGTCCAGAAACAAGTTATGGTGTCAAGGTTAGCCATCACTGTGCTAAGTGCGCATTTACTTGTGATCTGGTCCCATATCAGTATGGAGTTGAGTATCGCGGGACAGGCGGTCCTACATATACATACGTATACATGCGTGTGTCTAGCAGCTGGGAAAACAGTAAATCACATAGACTTTCATAATCATAGTTTAGGGACATGACTAGAAGCCTCGGGGCACCATGTTGTGTGATTGTTTGTGGTTGGCTGAGTGTGATTGTAGATGGTTGGCCAAGTGTGAGTGTGTTTGGCAGGTGGCAGAGTGTAATTGTGTGTGGGGTATATAATCCCAGATGGACCAGTGAGTTCTAGCATGGTGGAAGGTAGCACTGGGGTGCTTTTGGCAGGATCCCTAATGGTCCGCACATGTGGTGGGAGCAGACCGCAGAAGACGCTCCTTCTGGTTAGTGCTCATTCATTAATTGACAGCGCTGTCATGGTAATCCAGCGGCAGTGATCTGACTCACTAATTGAGAACTAGGGCTGCAAAGGGAACACTTACCAAGCCAAACTGGCAATGTACTAAATAAAGATTTTGCAAGGTTGGGGGGGGGGGAAATCTAATTGGTTTAGCCCCCCTTTGACAGGCCGAGCTCCAGTAGCGGTGACAATGCTAAATGTAAATATGCATTTATTCCTTTTCTAGAAACATTTTGATGTATATGTTCCATTTCGATATGTGATCACTGAATGTTTTTACGCCATGCAGAGAAATAGTTTTTTAAGGGAGGTGGGCACACCAGTGAATTATATCCCCAAAGGCCCCTGTTCTGCCATTAATTCTGCATTGGAACACCCATCTATCTCAGACCGCCCTGAAATCATCTGAGCTGCTATTCAAATATTCTTGAAAAAAGGACGGGTAGATTTGGATCCCAAAAAATGGCTAATACTCGTAATGAAAATGAAAATCCAGCGCACTCGCTTATCTACTAAACAGTCATTTTAGTGCTGAACAATTTTTTAGTTTTATTAAAAACACCTAATCTAGGCAAAAAAATTATGGGGGTTTAGTTACAGTATATGATCATACATTGCATAAGCCTGCCACAACGCCAATGCTCTTAATGAAAAACGTGGGCGGTATATATATTCACATATCACTGCACAATGGCAGAATTAACATATTTTCTAATTATTTCCTCTTTACCATGAGGTGAGGCAATGGATACAAGTACAGAGCACAGTCCCTGTAGGATCCTAGATAACGTGTCCAGTACATTAATTTTCTTTTCTTAGCTCACTTTCTTGCAGTTTCAGATACTGTGCAAAGTTTAACCCCTTAAGGACCAAACTTCTGGAATAAAAGGGAATCCTGACATGTCACACATGTCATGTATCCTTAATGGGGTTAATGATAGTTCACTAAAAATCCCTTAATTAGTTCTCTGTACCCACCACCTCTGCCCCTCTTCCCCTAGGTCCAGTTAAGGACTGATTCCATACACTTTATTCCAGTCATTACTCTACATTATTATTTCTCAGTGAACCTTGTGCATCCTCTCCCCCTTAAAACATCCCTCCACAGTTCAAAGCTACCCATTTTATCTCCAAACCCACTCCATTCAGAATTGCCAGCTCTCTAAGTCAGAGCCCAGCTCCCGTCTTCTTCCTTCCAGCCACCCCACCACCATTCATCTCACTGTTTCATCCCTTTGTCATGAAACACACTTTGCTGATTTTAGGACCCTCTTCTTCCATCTACTAATATATTAAAATTGCTTTTTTTTAGTATACACTTTTATTCTGAGGCTTCATATATCCATGAACTCACTCGCTTCATCTTAGGGCCCCTACCAGTTCCACATCAAACTCTTTTTTCCAGGCCCCTCTCTTATATTATTAAGCTGTCCCATCGCACTCTTTCACCAGTTTTGTAACAAGTAGGGTCTATATCAGCCTGCAGGTGGTGCCATTCTTCCTTCCCTAACAGAGCAGAGGGGCTCACAATAACACACAAGCTGACAAATGCAGTGAACTTTTTTCTTTAAAACTGTTTATTTTTGCTCTGACCGTTAAAACAGGTTTACAGATTTGGCCTTGTTTGCACTGTAGTTTGTCCAATAAACAAGAATGCATGTAATACAGGAAGTAATTTTACATATTGAAATCATGGAAGAACCTGTGTGGTCCATAAGTGCCACTTCGTATTTGTCAGAGGATTTTTTTTAATGTAACAGAACATAATAACATACGGTTGCTTTGGTTGTTAGGTACGCGGCTGTGGTCACGGGTTGGTTCTCTCTCTGTATGCAACAGTGCCCTTTTTGGGACTCTCTGCTTGAACCATCGCCCCATGCATCAGTGAGCTCTTATTCTAGTTGACCTGCTCTTTGACCCATGGGCCAAGGCAATACCAAGGCGCGGGGTGGGACCTGCGTGGTATCCCCTGGTACTCCTCCCCCCCAGGCTCCTCCACCAGTTATTCCCCTGTTACCTCCAGATATTGCTCCCAGTTGCGGACTATGGACATTAGTTTATCCATGAGATAATTATCTTTGATTTAATTGAGGACTAAAGACATCGGGGGCACCTCTGTACACAGCCATTTTTGAGCCAAGGCCCTATGGGCTGCTAGGTTTATCATGTTGAGTAATTGCTGCTCTGGTCGGGTGAGTGCCTCGGTCGGTTTTGGATAGGAGGTTTGCCCAGGGGTTTATCTTGAGTTGCCTGCTCATTATTTTGGAGCTGAGTTCAGCCCCCTTTCCCAGTAGGCCTGAACAGGAAGGCAGAACCACCACATATGAATTTAATCACCCCTGGCTCCACATAGTTGCCAGCAGTTGTCCGTGGGGGTGAGCTTCATATGGAATCTTTTGACTGGGGTGGTGTACCACCTAAACATGGTTTTAACGGACTGCTCCTGGAGTGTCACGCATATGGATGATTGGGCTGTGGCCTCCAATATATCCTGCCAATCCGTGCCTTCTAGTTGTTCTGCCAAGTCAGCCTCCCGCTTGTCGGTGTACCTGAGCTCCCCCCACTCCTTGGACACTACGCTTAGGTGGTTGTATAGTATTGAGATTAGCCCTCTGGTGTATGTTTCCTGGAAACACATTTTCTCGAACCACGTGAGCTCTCGGGCAGATGTTTTTTTGACTTTTTTTGTGGCAGTAAAGTCGCATAGCTGAATGTATCGGAAATAGTCCCTAGTGGTCAGGTGTGAGAGCCCTTGTAGTCTCTCGTAAGTGACTATTAGGTGTATATATCGTTGAAGGCCCGAGTTTTCTATTCCTTTAAAGTCTCTAGCTCTGATCCCGGGAGGGAATTCCCTATTTCTGTAGACCGGTTTTATTGAGGAGGGGAATCTGCTAAGTGCGCATTTACTTGTGATCTGGTCCCATATCAGTATGGAGTTGAGTATCGCGGGACAGGCAGTCCTCAGGAACATCCCACAAGTCTTGATGAGCCAAATAAAGAACTGAGGGGGGTCCTGTCCCATGAGTAAGGACTCTATCTCTACCCAGCATCTGGAATCTGGTGGCGAGTGCCAATATGCTATTTGCGCAACTTGGGCAGAGAGGTAGTATACATAGAGATTGGACAGCCCTAGTTGCCCCCTATCTTTGGGCCGGTACAGTAGCTTCCGTGCTATTCTGGGGTGTTTTTTTTGCCAAATAAACCTGTCTATAGCTCTTTGGAGGTCGGTTAGATTACCCTTCGTGACGGGCACAGGCAGGGTCTGGAATAGAAACAACAGTCTGGGAAGAACATTTATTTTGACTGAGTGCAGTCTCCCCATCCAAGATATGGGTTTGTCCATTCATTGCTCCATGTCCCTAATTAGGGAGTGGAACATAGGGGGTTAGTTCAAGTTGTATAGTTGTGGGTGGTGCGCCGCAAGTCTGATGCCTAAGTAGGGTATGCTTTCTGTTGGGTAGGCCGTATGTGTCATGTATCAGTGCCGTGTCCGGGGCCCCAAGATGAAACGGCATAGCCATTGATTTCGTGAGGCTGATTTTATATCCGATATGGTGATGTATCGGTCTAATAGGTCCGTCAGGTGGCTCAATGAGGTCAGCGCGTCCGACAGTGTAAGTAGGACATCGTCCTCGTAAATTGTCCGTAAATTGTCTCCCGGCCACTGTGACTCCCTGAATGTGCGTATATTGTCTGATCGCTTGCAGAAGATATTCCAGTGAAAGAGCGAACAACAACGGGGAAAGGGGGCAGCCCTTTCTTGTCCCATTGTATAGTATGAAGGGGACTCTGTTAGCCCCTGTGATCAGTGTCTGAGCCCTGAGGTTGGAGTATATCTTCCAGATCGCCATGACATAGGGCTCCAGGGAAGCCCCAGGCACGCAGGAAGCCAAATAGGTACGGCCACCGGACCCTGTCAAAGGCCTTCTCCGCGTCTAGCGGCAGGACCAGAGAAGGTCTCTCGGAGCTTTGCATGTGCCAGGTCAGAACCGCAGCAATATTCTCATATAGCTGTCTGCCAGGCATGAAGCCCATCTGGTCCAGATGGACCAAGCGGGTAAGGAGCGGGGTGAGCCTGGTCACAAGGAGTTTCGCATAAATCTTTAAGTTGGAGTTTATTAAAGAAATGGGTCAGTAATTAGCCGCCTGGTCTTCGTCTCTCCACAGTTTGGGGATCAGTGTTATATTAGCTAGTGCCATATCGGCGTCCGGGATTCCGCCCTCCATAAAGTGGTTATAGAGGGATGTGAAGTGGGGGGCCAATTCCTCCTTAAATTTCTTATAGTACCCCACGTCATACCCATCCAGTCCCAGGGCCTTGTTCCCCTTGAGATCTCCAATGGCCACCTCCACCTGTTCCCAAGAGATAAGCGCCTGCAAAGAGTCCGCCTCCTCTCCGGTCACCCTTGGTAGAGTTTTGCCCATCATGAACGACAGTAAGTCCGTCTGTTCCCGTTTGGGGGAACGCTGTTCCTGACGGGAGTGTCCATACAGTTCCGAGTAGAACTGAGTGAACACCTGGTTGATTTCTTCTGGTGTGTGGACTACGCCTGTGTGCAAATTTTATGTATGTGTCTGAAATCTCCTCTGGGGCATAAGGTCTTGGCAGTGAATCCATTTTGTTGGACTTCCCCAAAAGTTCTCTAATCGAGTGCCGCAAGGCGTTCAGTTCTGTCAGTCTCCGCTCTGTTGGGTCTGCTTTGTTCTGCTGTTCTGCCTTTCTTAGTGCCACTTGCAGCTCTAAGAGCCGCTGCGTGGTGTTTTTTTCTTGTGGGTGGCTACCGCTACCGGGTTCATCTCTTGGGAGATGTTTTGTGTGAATTAGTCTTTGATGACCGTGCCCGTGGTCTGGCATATGTCGTTATTCTGGAGCAGGCTTGTGCTGAGGCTCTACATCCAGTTGGAAGAATATTTAAGTCCCTCCAGGGTGATCGCTATGTCAGCATGGTCTGACCATGTGATACTCCCTATCGCAGCATGTGAGTTTTGCCATCCTCGCCCCATTGAGTAGGAAGTTATTGATTCTCGAGTAGGTTCCGTGAGGTGCCGAGTAAAATGTAAAGTTCTGAGTATCTGGGCGGTGGAGTCGCCATGCGTCTAGCAGTTGTGTATTTCTCAGGAATGTGTGTAGTAGCTTGTCCTGTGCTCCCCTCCCCTGGGACCTCACTTGTACCCCTGTCGGCTGCCGAACACGGCACTGCATTTAAGTCACCTCCCACTACCGTCCCCCCACATCCGTCAGAGCTGACCAGTATGGTCAGTGTCCCAAAGTGATGCGTCAGGGTCATTGGGTGCGTATGTGTTGATGATGCGGAGCTTGGTGTTATGTATGGTCCCCACGACTGATACTTATCGTCCTTCTGGGTCTGCCTGTGTCCCCGTCACGAGAAAGGGACATCATTTGTGAATGAGTACCGCCACTCCTGCTCGCTTGCGCAGGTCCCTGGCTTCATGTACCGTGGGGTACTGTCTGTTATGTAGTTTTATCTGTGTTGGCCTCGGGAGGTGTGTCTCCTGAATGAGGGCAATATCTGCTTTGCTAGATTTGAGCTCTCTCCACAGCAGTCTGCGTTTTGTGGATGAGTTCAGGCCCTTTACATTAAGGGATATAATCTTTAGAGCCATCTGTGTGTGGGTGATGGGCTGTTCCTAGCATGTGAGATGTCCAGAGGGCGTTTACCTGCATAGCACATAGCATGCTTCCAAGTCCTCCTGGGTGCCTCTCACCACTTCTGATTACACGATTTCCCTGCGCCATGGATCACCAGCAAACATTGAAAAGAACATTACATGAAAATTAAACATTAACTGTAACAACATATACTTCTCAATCCTCCTATTAAGCCTGGTCTTACAATTTGCCAGAGCAACCCGGGTGTCAGGATTACAGAATGATCCAGCAAGTAAAATTGTGTAACACAGAGGACTGATGGGTAACGTCTACCGGACCTTAGAATGGCCGGACTAACGTACCAAAGAATAGTCAGGAATAGCCGAGGTCAAGGGAAACAGAAAGAGACACAACGATAAGGAAAATCCAAGAGTCAGGGCTGCCAGAAAACAGGGAAGTCAAAAACAATGCCAAAGTCAAATAACCAGAATTAATAATGCGCTCTCTGACAACCACAAGGGAAACCACGAAAGGGCACTGAGCAGGATGAGAACTGGGCCTAAATACCCCTCCTCTAGATCTGATAGGCTGTAACCGGCCTTTGACCCCAAAGCAGTTACCAGGTTTCCATTTGCATAATTGCTGCTCAGCATTAACCCTTCTGTGGATTTGGTTGCTGCTCGGTACAACTTTTCCTGTGTGGACAGTAAATGTCATTAACCACATTTTTATAAGCGGATGAATACGTGACACCGGGGGTGCAAGCCCCCTCCGTCCGGAAGCACCAAAGTTCCGACCGAAGAAGGAGGCTCCCAACCCCAATCCGCTGTGCCACAAAATGCAAGACCCTTACTTTTTCAGTGCATTACTTACCCACGTTGGGGTTATGCGTGTTTGCGGGTGGAGTACCTATGTATGTCCGGGGTCTGTCATCCTCTTGAGGGAACTGCAGTGAACTTATCAGCAATGTGACCCTGCCCTATCATCGCAAGCCGTGGAGTTATATGTTTGCAGCCAGCCTGCCCCCAATAGTTGTGAACCAACTACTAAGTGAACTAAGAATTGAAGATGCAGGTGGTGGTCATAAAATATAGATAGATGCTGTAGGCTCTTGTGGAATTAATAGTTTCCTGGACAGATACCCAAATTTCCCGTGTCAAAGTCGGCCATGATCAGTTAGAAAGAGTACAATTTTTACTATAGCTTTTTATGTAGATCTGTACAGAACTCCAGGTGGCTACATTCCATTCTCTTGATGTGCGGGTTGTGCTTATGTGTGCAATGATGATGAATACTACCTCATGATGATGTCATGGCTCATCAAGGACCTTTATCTTGAATTCCGAGACTTAATGATTGCCTTGTAAGAAGACAACATCATAGGCCATTGAGTGCCAGTGGTGGGACCAAAACCATAGCGTTGCCATCACTGACATCGTATTATAATCTAGAAGCAGAATCTATCCAAGGGATTGACATCTATATTGTGCATTTAAGAAAATGAGGCCGCACTCAATGAGCCGGATGGCTGAGAGCTTAATTAACAGGAAGATTGCCTGATGTGGTGACTATATTCAGGGTACACTAGTTGCTATGTTAATGCACCCTTATCAGTTTCCATTGGTTTATTAAATACCTGATTTCTATTTTGTAATGTAATAAAACCTGATAGGATCTCACAATTGATGAGTTTGTACCTCACACATGTCTAGAGCTTTATAAGCTCATTATTCAATTTTACATTTTGTATTCTGTGTTGAGCATCTTTCTTCTTTGAAACACAGGCAAAAAAAATAAAAATAAAAAAATCAAGAAGAATTGCTTAATCAGTGTCTGGTATTCAGTGTTATCACAGGTGACAACGCCAGGTAAACTGATGCAATCTGTCAAGAGGCCACAGGCCCTAGAATTCTGTGCCAATTATTTCGAAAGGTAGGGAAGTCCATCTGAGTTCTTAAAGAGTTTTACTATACTGAGTTTTCACTGAAATTCAGATCTTTCAGCCTTTAGAGAATGAAAAGGATACGGCTCATAAAAGCTTGGCCTACAAAATGTTTTGGTTTTTTTTTAACGTGGGTATCTGAGCTGCAATCACACAACCAGCTTTAAAAAAAATCACTGCCCCAGATGTATGAATCCATGTACATTTGTGAATTAGAACTTCAAAATGTTGGTGCTTTATAAATAAACTCTAAGAATGAAACACATCATAGTTTGTAAACGCTTTTTAATGGCTGAGCGCGTCTCCTATTATTGCCTCTCCATATTATGTCCCCAGGCCTGGCTGCCTACTTAAGTGCTGAAAGTCATCCCTCACCCCGTCATATAAACCCCAAAATATTCACAGATATAAAACATTTACACAGTTCCTCATAGTACAAAACCTTTGCACACACTCAGACTTATTTATCTTCTTTATACCCGTCCAGACGGGCAGAGTCCTTGCCACAGACCACAAGTTAGCAACCTTGTAGCTATATACATATGCGAACACACATATAGAACTAAATATAAATGTGTATGTTTGTACACATATATACATAGACCTATACAAAAATGTGTCGTGTGCCTGTATGGGCATATGTGTGTATACAAATAGAGGCACACACACATATACACACACCACACATTACTTTGTTCACAGGGCAGTAAAAGCAGAAGCATGTTTGTACTATATTTTAAATATTTAGACAATACGCACACATGTTTATGTACATCACATATCTTGTACAGCAAAAAAATCTATTGTATAGAGATATTTATATATATATATATATATATATATATATATATATATATATCAAGAAAATTATGGTGGGATAAAATTGTGATTGAAAACCACTTCAGTGGATAATCAATACAATGTTAAACATATATTTGCACACTAGTCAAGCCATAAGACTTGCTTCTCCCGCAGAAGTCACACATTTACAATGATGTTACTACTGCAAAGGATTCTGGGGGGGCATATGCAAATTAGTTCAACAAAGAATCACATTTTTGCCTCATTATTCCATTTATAACATGGATTCCTTGGAGTCTGTGTTTGCTGTATACAACAGCTTTGAAACACAACTCAGGAAGAGATGCAAAGCAAGTGAAATATATATATATAATGTTATGTTTGCACGTGAACGGGTGTGTTTGTGTGTGTGTGTGTGTGTGTGTGTGTAGAAAATCATGTAAATATTCACCAATGAGGGAGAACATTGCAAAGAAGAAAAAAAAAGATACAAGTAAAAAAAAAGTTATAGATATTGAAAACCCGCATTTCTTACAAGGCCATTTATTTTAAAAACTAGTTGTAGGGCTGAGGACACACGTTGGGTATTTTAAAAGTCCATACTCAATGATAAACATTTAGAAATCTGTTTTATTTAAAAAAATAATAATAACTTTTAAAAAAAAAGTTTTATTTTGAGAATGGACTTTTGAAAAACCCTGTACGTGTGGGAGTGTGTGTGTGTGTGTATATAGTTTTACGTCTGCTGTAGCCATATATATATATGTACACTTATTCCAGTCTGTATCACGACAATATAGTTATGCAAGCTAATATATATATATCTATATATATATATATATACTTATTTTCTGCCCAAATTTCCCCTTAATAAGAAATCAAACTGTACAGGTAATCTACTTACAAAAATACCACACTACCTGACCCCTTTTAATGTCACCCAGCCTTTTCCCTTTAACTACGTAAGTCCCAGCTGATGTGACATGTGCATGGGTTGGCAGTGTGAGATAATTAGCTCTTGAGGCCAGCCCCACCCCCTTCTTCTTAAAATTCCTTTAACAGAGGCTTAAATCCATCATTGAGTGTATGAATTCCTCACTGACACCACACTACACAAACAACAATCTCTACTGTACTGCTGGAGTAATCTCTTCACACCATATTCAATGTATCCTGCTTTCTGCTGGTACGGAGGTTTCCAGTTCAGCTTGCAGAACCTTGTTGGCCGTACAGTTTGTTCTGTACTGTGCACACTCTCTGCTATTCCTCTGCTCCTGTCATTGTGAGCACTCTAGGCTCCTGTCACTGTGCATTGGGCTCCAGTTTGTAGGACAGCTCAAAGAGCAGATTCTGGTTGTCTATGACCTGGAACTGCCGCACGTAGGCCTTATTTTGCAGGTGGTTGGGGGATACATCTGTTTCAAGTCCTGCCGGAAGGTGGAGAATTGGGAAAGATAGTTAAATGATGAAGAACCAGAGCACAACATAAAAGAGAGAACTACAAGAGTAATACAGTGAAAATGACAATTATTTAATTTTTCACATTAAACGCGAGCTTTGAATCCTGCCATCTTAAAAAAAAAGATTTTGTATAGAGTTGAGCAGACACCTGGATGTTCGGGTTCGCCGGGATCGGCCGAACTTCGGCAAAAGGTTCGAGTTCGGGACTCAAACTTGACCCCGAACCCGAACCCCATTGAAGTCAATTGGGACCCAAACTTTTGGGCACTAAAACGGCTCTAAAAAAGTCCTGGAAAAGGAAGTAAAATGTATTGCCTAAGTACTAATATACTTACCCAGTGGAAGAAGAAGAATGTTACACTGTATGCAATTTTAAATAAAAAGTATACAAACATAGCCAGGATTCAGCTGTAAGCATTTGCAACACTTATAACAATTAAGTAACATACATTCATATAAAATGTAAGTTACTTGGCCAGACAATGTAATGACAGGAATGAATAAGTAGATAACTCTCTAATTCCCACGGTATTAGGGAGCTATCTACTAAAAGGCTGAAAAACCTGAATAGGTCTTTCAGCCAAATTTACTAATGCTAAGTAAAGATTACTTAGTATTAGTAAATTATGTTCCTACTCGCTATACCGCGAGTATGGGCATGTCTATTAAACAGTGAGCCTCCTGAACGGCGGGTGGTTCAGGGGTGGGGGCCAGAGGGGAGGACATTAGGTCCCCTCCCCTTTTCTAATTTGTTAGGACGCAATTCGGCAGTTTTGTCAAATGCTTGTTGATTGGCTGCCCTGCAGCTTTTCAAAACGCGCCATTAAATCACCGAACACCGAACTCAAACTGTTACTGAAATGTCTGGGTTCGGGGTCAAAAAATCGTAATGTTTGGTACAACTATCGCTCAACTCTAATTTTGTATTGTACTCTAAGGCTTTGGAGCAAAGCTAGAGAAAGGATACAGGTACAACCCACCTATGCTTTGTAGATCAGGACTGAACATTTAAAGGGTAACTCCAAGGACTGTGACCACAAAGTGGTTTGAAGTGGTTGTGGTGCTTGGAGTCTGCATGTACAACGTTTTACTGAGAAGCGCTACACCTACAGAGTTAAAGCACATCGCTACTGGTAACTCCACCTTCAGCAGGGTCATTAGTCAGCGGAATGAGAGGCTGTCTAATGTTAATTTTGTGCTTGCATATTGTGTTTCTGAGGTCAATACACACAGCATGCACCTCTCCATGCTAGAAAAGTCCTCTTCTCTGCCCGTCCTCCGGGAAGAGCCCTACCCTTGGAGTGAAGGGATAGAATGTCACCGAAGGAGGACCAGTACGCAGGAAGAACTTAGTCTTGGCTATAATTTTGAAGGTGTGTTTAGCCTTTATTTCTTTACTAATTTTGTTTAATGTTACAAGAGGGACCATGCCAGCTGGGGTTGCCACAACAAAAAAACAATGTTGTAATAAAACACTGCTTTTGGTAGGAAAAAATATTTTTTCCCCAAAAAAGGGGAAATGGAATAAATCAAATTATGTAGTATGCTTAGAATTTATTCTACAGGACTGTGAATAATCTGCTAATAGCGAAGCCACTATTCTTCACACAATCAAGACAGCATGACTTTAAACCACTATCCGACTACCTACAGATTAAATGACCTACAAACATGTGCACGCATACACACGGTGAACATTTATCACTCACGTAACTGGCTGCTTCTGTACTTCCGAACAGTCCTCACTTTCTCTGCGATGGCATGCTGTAAAAACAGGGGAGAGTGTTGGTCACAACATGTTATTGAGATACTCAGGATAGATCATAATATAACTCCTGAACTGTATACAAGTAGGGGATCGAAAGTTTTTTTGTTGTTGTATTTTTAACCAGAGAGTGCTCTACTCCAAATTCACAACTGAATTGCAAAATTGCGTAAACAGAATCCCACTGTAAAACTATAATTAATGCTTAGGAAATGAGAGGTACACGGCAAGATGTCAAAAGTGAGGGCCGAAATGATGGCATTCCAAAACAGCAACCATGCCTGGTACCGCCCTGACATGGTATGTTGAATCCCCTTTCTATTACAAAGACAGAATCAATTTATGGAACAAGGTAAAGGTTTTTTTTGTATTTCTTGCACTTAGGGCCTGGGAGAACAGTGTTGATTATGACAATCAGGTGAGTTTGAAAACCTAAATGAGAACTTGAAGAAATTTTGGTCACCTAAAGAAGATAAATGGACAAACAAGACTCAAGATGTACTCTAACCATGTTATTTTTGGTTTTCTGTTGGAGAGTAAAATGTTAGTATATAATGAATTGGCTTACTCCATCCAAAACTTACCATTTTCTCCACGTTCACAAGACCATCGAGGAATGTTTTACTGCCCTCATGTAAGAACGTGAGATCTAGGAGAAGAAAAGAAAGAGGTTTATTGAAATGAGGAAAGTAAAGGATGGATAAGTGAAAAATAAATTCAGATGAAAAGAGAAGAGAACCAGGTAGAGATCAGAGTAAGCTAACCTCTAGCAATCCAACACCAATGGGCTATGAGGGGGATTTATACTTTTCCAGCAATCTACTGTTCTACCCCTACTTATACCCTTTGTGTCACTATACCCCACTCCCTCTAGCATGTAAGCGCATTGAGCAGGACCCTCAACCCCTCTGTTTCTGTGCGTCCAATTTGTCTGGTTACAATTACGTGTTTGTTAGTCCACCCAATGTACACCGCTACAGAATTTGCCAGCGCTTTATAAATAATAAAATAATAACCAATATGTTGTGTTCTCTAAAATAGTGCAAGGTACTAAAAATGGGGCACTCACTATGAAAATGAGTGGAACCAGTAGGCATATTCCCACTTTTACATATTTATAACTGTTAACAACACTAGACTTTGATAAATCTACCCCAATGAATCGACATGATGATCCGCCAACCCTCTGACCATTGTTCACACACCAAAGTAGTTTGGGTGCCAAAGAATTAGAGAGAGGGAGAACTAAATAACTGTAGAAGGATAATGCAAAAGTAATGAAAGAGTTTTTAGATGGGCGGGACCAATGAAAAAGCACAAGACTACATCTTGCTTGTGTTCACCTTTCAGAATGAGTGGAATAAATGGGATCACTGGGGGGCGCATTCGTGTCACCATTTCACGATATGACTTGTGATTCCTACATGGGTCCTGTGTATGGTTAAAAACATGTGAGAGAACTTTCATATTAATACAATATCTCCAAATAAACAAGTGAACAGATTCTTACAACAGGAATGTTTACTGATTACATTTATGATAATGCTTATCCTTTTCGAAAATATGCACAGAAGAAAATGGAAAATGTGAGCAACCAAGAATGGACAAATGTAACCGGTCAAGTGAGAAGATACCTTTCCATAGAGCAAGTTATGAAGCTGTGTCTGTTCATTTTGAACCTCTTAGGACTCTAAATGAAAGCACCAAGCCTTTAAAGGGACACTATAGGCATTCAGACTACTTCAGCTCATTAAAGATGTCTGGGTGCAGTGTTCCTGCTCCCCTTAGCCGTACAATGTGAACATAGCAGTTTTAGAGCCGCACGTCTATTTATTTCATGGAATTTGACTCTGTGAAACAACGCTGGATGTCTTTACGCTTTACATGAGAACATCCAGTATCCTCAAAATCTCCATAGGAAAGCATTGATTCATTGTATGAGGAAGGCCTAATGCGTGTGCATGCGTACATGTCCCCACTCAGTGCAGATGTCGGAGGAGGAGGAGCCAGAGCCAGCGCAGAGTGACACCGGCACTGGAACAGGTTATTTAACCCTTTCAGTTCATGGGGGAGGTTGGGAAGAGGCCCAAGGGGGAGCAGCAGAACACTTTAGTAATACAATTTTTTTATCACTGACACTATTGTGCTCCTTTAAAATATTTCAGAATAACCTCAAAATCTACCAGCAAAGCTATGATTCAGCATCCATATGCACATCACAGCCACAGCCTGTTCTGCCAAATATTTAAATTGCTGACAGCAACAAAGGCCTTCTCCTCATTCATTGCCGCAACCACCACACGTCTTTTAATTGGATGAAAGTGGAGCCAAGTAAGCAACATTCTACGGTGGAATACTTTGGGCTCGTTTCCATGCTATTTAAGGCATAAGTAAATACCAATAGCAGGTAGATCATTGCAGCTAAATAAACACAGTGACAGGTTCCATGGTCCACTCCTGATAACACCCGTACACTACCCCCATCCGCCTACATGGATCACTAGTTAATATATATCATTTTTCAAACTGGACAGAATGATGCGTCTTCTAATTAAAGAGACACGCCAGATTAATGGAAATCCTCCTATGTCCCAAGTGTCAATTTCATAATTCTGCACTTTTACGAATTAATATGGGAACACTGTGCTGGCCGTCAAGCTTAGTGGACTTCCTAATCCATTCTGCTTGAATGATTGTAAAACTGGACAATGCTTCCCTATTAGAAGTATCCTATTGGGCGATTGCCACACTTGATTAACGCATTTGCTGCAATGGCCACACACGCTCCAATTCCATCAGGACAGGAATGCGAGAGATAACTATTGTTACTGACTCACCACTGGATAAAAAAAGGTAATACAGGTATTTTTTCTCATTTGGGGGAGGGCCTGACAGATCAATTAGTTTGGATGTAGATTAAAAAAGCATTTGATTTGTTTGAACCAGCTGAAACACATCTATAATAAGTATTTGAATAGGCAGGTGCCTAGTTTAGCAATCATTGATTTTTTAAAATCCTTCTTACCGTTAAATTCTCAAACTTTCGAAACAAGTTCTTGAACTTTCCTGGTAATTTCTAGGGAAAGAAAGAAAAATATATTCAACTTAGAGTTTATGGATAAATCTGCTTTTTTTTTCTTTTAAAAACTATTGCCAATAAATCCTGGTATAAGGGAAATATTTGATCTTATGAGCGGCGTTGTATTTCTTGATGTTTAAAGGGACACTACAGCCATTTCATCTCATTGAATTTAGTCCCCGAGTCCCCTGGCATTGTCTTTCCAGTCATTGTTAAACCATTTTCAAGCCTTCCACAGCCCCAATTCACAGCAGCAATAGGCTGAAAGCAGTCAGCTGACACTCTTAGAAACTCACAACTACCCAGTGCAGCATAGACGGGATGGACTGCTGGGGACTCTTGTTTAACATTAAACCATTAGTATAACACTGGACATAAAGAAGGCACCAGAAGACTCCAAACAGTGTTAACAACAGCCAACAGCGGTCCTTTAGTGATTAACTACATATATCATGTGCTTGTCTCTGGTTCCAGGTACCGTCATTTCCTGCCTATATGTTCCGTGAATAGAATATGGAAAGTACTTGCACCCTCAATGTTCTAAAATATGCTCTCATCTTGGTTATCTTTTTTTTTTTTTTAATACTTATTTTTGTTATACTGAAAATTACAAGTTGCCTGCAAAGCCATGACAGCATATGCATGCACAAACATGTCAAACATTGCAATACAGAGTCTTGACAGTGGAAAATCAGCACATTTTAAAAATATAGTATTAAGGAGATAAGAAACACAGTGCATGAGAGGTTGAACGATAGGTACTTGAAAGGTAAACTCTATGCACTAAGAGAGATCAACAGTGAAAAAACCCTCTAGGAGGCCCCAGGCAAGCTAGCCGTAAGTCCCACATAAGAACAAAAACTAGAAGGCATAGACAAGCTACACTTGTAGTGTTAATAAAATGTGGGAAGAAAGTAGAGGCATCATGCCAGGGATAGAAAGCCCCCAAGTCCAACTTTGTGTTCACCCTATGCCCCGTTGGGGACGCACAATGTCCCGCCTAGAGAAGCCTGGTATCCCAAATGAGGTCAAATAGGTGGTCACAGTGTGGTCATCGGTCAGGCATATCATGGCTAGCGAGGATCTTCCTGATTGCTTAGTGACCCTGTGTGGATTGGGGTTTAAGCGTGTGCCTCTGCGGTGGTCTAATAGATAATATACTGCCAGGACTAAGGTGGGTTGCTGGCAGTGTTGTTTCACCTCTCTGGTCCGATTCAATCTGGGGATCTCTCTGATTCAATCTGGGGATCTCCGTATAGGATGTGTGACTCGGTGCTGTTTGACCCAGGCATGCTTCCAACCGTGCCCAGAAGGTTTTAAATCGCCGGTCCATGCATTGCAGGACATCACTGAAGCTTAGATTAGAGTCAGAGGAGCACGTGTCGTTTGCCATTTTGCATGCTAGGATCTCAAAGCCTTTCCTTTTGACACACCACGTGGCTTCAGTACAAGACAGGAGTCTCCAAGGGGTAGACCGGGATCACCCCCGCGGGTCCAGACGGGGGGGATGGGGATAGGGCACCAGGCACGAGCACAGTTTAGGAGAGGAGATGGGCCGCCTCTCCACTCCCCCAGACACCCGAGGCCTCCGGCTAACACCGCAGCTGGATTGTTAGGAGCAACCCCACTTTTGCAAAGGTAAGTAGCACTGTCGATGGGGTTTAATTACCCGATTATTTACCTGATTATTGCTTCATTTAGGGGGTCAAGTGACAGAGCTCCCTCGAGAGCGTCCGCCCGGCTCGATAGTTAGCCCCCCCCCGCTAAGTTATCTTGATGCTCTGCCATACAGTAAACCTTTTCAAGTAGAGCTTATTGGAAAGTTGCAATATATTTATGAAATACATACTGGCAGAATACTATTATAAAGGACCTTTGCCTTTTTAGGACCCTCTACAAACGTGGGAATTACTAGTGTTAAGGAATAGAGGGTATATTATTAAAACATACTTTTAGACCAGGGTATACAGAATTCCCTGCAACATCTGTATTAGTATTACCCCATCCTGGAAACGTAATGAAACTGATGAATGGGGCATAGCCATGCCTGTCAAGTTTTAATTAACCCTCTCTTAAAGTGAGGGTACAGCAAGGGCAACTTATCAAGCACTCTTTTGCGTAACAGAATGGAGAGGGGTAGTACTGGAGAGTAGAAAACATTGAAGTTATGAAATGAACTGTTTGAGAAAGGGAAGAAAAATTTGGGAAAACGAGCTGAAATAATTGACAGGAAATAGTAATGAGAGAATAACGGCACTGTATGAGTGTAAAGGTAAATTAATGATAATAGATGACACTTACCTCCCAGGTGACCCGCAAACGGCTCACAGCCCCATTATCCAAACCCATCACAATTGCAAAAAATGACAGGAGGTCTTGATTCTGTTTACAACTATAAAGAAATTAAAGAGAGTCACAGATGTGAGTAAATGGGGACCAGGAAGAATAAAATGAAAATAATTTAAAGGGTTACACTAAGTGTCATGATCTCTTCAGTGATTTGAAGTGGTCATGGTGCCTGGAGTCTGTATATGCAATGTTTCACTTTTAAACAGCACATACGGAGATAAACCTGTCCCTACTGCTAGAGGTGTAACTTCACAATGGGGTGTCATTAGCCAGCCCGGAAGTAGAGATATTCCTGTGCACAGAAATGCATTCATTGGCTGAAAGTGGTCATGTGTTGATCCTGGCCAATGAATGGCTGTCAGGATCCACACACGGCACTGCAGGTCTGCAGAAGCCATATGTACATTACAGCTAGCCTTACATGAGACCAGACTCTTGGTAAGATCAGGTAAGAGGGCAAACCATTTCAAAATAGTTTGCTCCATTACTGAGAAACGGGGCTAGAGAAATCCTGGAGGCCTGCAGTGGTTATGGTGCTTTGAGTTACTCTTTAAGACTGAAAAAGGAAGAAAAACATTGAATATGAAGGACGTACAGAAGAATGTATGGGAGAAAATCATATAATGGGAATATTTATAAAAGTGGGCAATGTTCTAAAACTGGAACTATTGCCATGGAAACAAAAATCAACAGGAACATTCAGTTGCTTTTCACAGAGATTGCTGGTGCTTGTAAAACTTTTTTTTTCCATTGGGGACTTCTATCAATGTAATTCAGAGTTTACTAAATACCTGAATGTGTTGTTTTTTGGTTTTTTTTTAGGAGTAAACATGATATAAAATACATATTGTGTTAAACACTCACATGGCAGCCGTCTTAATGAACTTTTTGAGGAGTTGTGTCCTTCTCGCTGGACCTTCACAGAGCAGAGTTTGTGTACTGACCCAGTGTTGCACCTCACTGCATCGCTGCAAAAGTAGCTCGAGATTTGCCGTCTCTCTGCGTCCTCTCTCTGCATGGAATACGTAATCTACAAACTCCAACTGTGGGAAAAGAAGGATATGAGTACAGTATATGCAAATGGTGTTACAAATGTTTGCATTGGTGCTAAAAAATTTACCTAAACACATGTACATGTGAATTATATATTAAAATAGCATTATGAACTTTGGAATATACCCGATTCACTTAACTCCACATTGTAGTGGATTGAAATCTGATATGCAAAACTGGGGCTCAAATAGTGGCTCTTGAAAAATTCTCCAACTCAGCTATTTTGGCCTTAATTTTGACAATCAGAGTTTACAGAATAATCATGCAAGACTCTTATAACATTGACACCAGAAAACATTTCCTCATTAGAGTAATTGCTTGTTAACACAGTGCACAAAAACGTGGGCGGCATTCCATGCTTGTCGTTATCGGCACATTCCCTCTTACACGGTACACAGTGCGTATCTCGATTTGTCCTCACCATCCTTCCATATGCTGCTAGTCTCACTATACTTAAAATGATCTTAGTCATCAATGCTCCCATTTTGACAAATTTGTCATAAAATTTAAAATTCATTTTTAATTCACTTTTTCCACACCATATAAATCCCACCATATTTAAACATCATACCAAACCCAAACAAGCTTCATCATGTTAATGTAAGTATAATTCCACATCATGCCAATACCACTGTATGTCCATATAATGCCAATACCACCTCACTGCAATACTGTGCAAATTCCACTAATACTCCACATTATACAAATTCCACTACACTATACTCTCACTACATGTCCACATAATGACAATCCCAACAAAAGTATCCACATGATGAAAATCCCACTATACATCCACCTTATGACAATCCCACTACAATGTCCACGTCGTGCCAACTCAATTATGTTTATACATCGTGCCAGTCATACTATACTTCCACCTTATGCCAGTCCCAACCAGTGTACTTCCACTATAGGCCCATAATATCTCAGGATAACACGCAAACAACTGCCCCATTCAATATCACAAGAAATACCCAAGAAGTATATTGGGGGTATAACTCAGTTGTAGAGCATTTGACCTCAGATCAAGATGTCTCAGGTTCAAATCCTGGTGCCCCCTTTAAGAATCATGAATGATAACTTATTTTCAGAATCTTGACTTGACTATCATTGACTCCTCAATTTGAACATTTTTATTTTTATTGATACTTTAGAGAGCGTTCAGAGAAGGGCTACTTAACTGGTTCATGGATTGCAGGATAAAACTTACAAGGAGAGGTTGAAGGAACTTAACATGTATAGCTTGGAGGAAAGACGAGACAGGGGGATATGATAGAAACATTTAAATAGATAAAGGGAATCAGCACACTAAAGGAGGAGACTATATTTAAAAGAAGAAAAACTACCACAACAAAAGGACATATTCTTAAATTAAAGGGGCAATGGTTTAAACATAATATCAGGAAGTATTACTTTACTGAGAGGGTAGTGGATGCATGGAATAGCCTTCCAGCTGAAGTGGTAGAGGTTAACACAGTGAAGGAGTTTAAGTATGTATGGGATAGGCATAAGGCTACCTAGCTATAAGATAAGGCTAGGGACTAATGAAAGTATTTAGAAAATTTGGCAGAGTAGATGGGCCTTATCTGCCGTCACATTCTATTTTTCTAAGCACAGGTTTTTTGCTCAAAAATAGTATATAAAGCAACATATAGCAGACAAAAAAATCTCACAGACCTTACATTGTACAGGTAACTTCAATAACATAAAAATGGGTGCTTTATGGGTACTTCTTGTGATATTGAATGGGACAGTTGTTTGTGCGGTATGCTGAGATATCATGGAACCATAGGCTCGGCACCAACTTCCTTCTCCTAATGGGAACACAGAGAGTAACTAGGACCATTAGCTCATTATTTTCTACAAGTTATCCCCTGTTTTGTTGGAGTTGCGGCAATCAGGTTACACAAGGGGTTTAATTATCCCTTGCACTCTGGACATTTTACTCCCACTAAACTATCAAATCTAGCCAGCTCTAATATGTTTCCAAACTCTCTTAGTGCCTATGCGGAATGCTCTACTACATATCCAAATCTTGCCAATTTTTCCACATGCTGCCTCTTCCAATATGGTGGATATCATGTTTGTCTTATTAGTCTTTTTGTAAGGAACTGACTCTGCTGGGTTTCGAACCCTGGTTTACATGGTGCTAAACCTTTTCCTTACCAGTACACCAGCCTGCCTTTTGCAAATTTACCTGAGATCTGATACCATTGCTTGTAGAGTCAAGGTTATCAGTGACAACTCACTTCAGCTGTGTCTGGTCAGGTGTCTGGTTCTTGGCCTATAAAAGCCACTTCCTGTCTCTGTACCTTTGCCAGATTATTGTGGTTCCTGTACTCTCTAATCAAGCGTGTTCCTGTTTCTCCTTCCTGTTGCTGAATTTGGACTGTTTTGACTTTGCTGCTTCTCCTTCCCACTGACCTCGGCTTGCCTCACTACGATTATAATCTTTCTGTTCCAGTCTCCCATCTCTGCTTAAGACCAGAAGGCCACTCAAGGCTCAGGGGCTCAACCACCTGGGTAACGAGTGGCTACCTCTGGCAGAAAAACATTGCTGATCTGGCTACTGGACTCCAAAACTTTGTAACATCAATATCATTACAGAATAATCTGGCCCATTCATGGAGACCGTCGGATCAGATTCTGCATTGGCCCAGCAGGTTGCTTTTAATGCAAGAACTATGCAGACCCAGGCACAGACCATTCAAGTGCTGCAGGATCAGGTAGCTGAACTGCAAAATGAAGTTCGATCAATGCATAGTGAGCTTACCAGCTACAGGGCACATGATGTTGCGGCTGCTGCTACTACTACTGTTACACCTGCACAAGATGCCCGCTTGCCTCTACCAGAAAAATTTGGAGGAGACCGCAAAAAATTCAGGGGTTTCCTAAATCAATGCCGTTTGCATTTCATGATGTTACCTAACCGTTTTCCATCTGAAAGAGAGAAGGTGGGATTTATTTTTTCCCTCTTCAAAGATGAAGCCCTGGCCTGGGGCTCCCCTTTTCTGGAACAGGACAGTCCAATCTTGGGAAATTTAAAAGACTTTCTTGAGGCCATGTGCCTAGTTTTTGATGATCCCAATCGCTGTGCTACAGCAGAAGCCACTCTCCTTCATTTACATCAAGGGAGGCGCTCTGTGGCTGAATATGCTGCTGAATTCAGACAGTGGGTTACTGATATCACTTGGAACCAATCAGCCCAGAGGTTCCACTTCAGAAGGGGTCTCTCAGAAGCTATAAAAGATGAGCTAGCTCGTGTTGATCTTCCTGTTGAGTTTGATGCATTTGTGCGGTTGGCTATCCGTATTGATCGGAGACTTTCAGAAAGAAGATTGGAAAGACAGGGCTCTTTTAAACCAAGTGCTACTCCTACTTTCTATTCAAGAATTTCTACTCCGACCCCACAAACACCTACAGACTCTGAACCTGAGGCTATGCAGGTAGATCTAATAAGAGGGCCATTATCCAATGAAGAAAAACAGTGGCGACGCACTCACAACTTATGCCTGTATTGTGGTAGTGCAGGGCATTATGCCATCAATTGCCCTAACAAGTCTAAAAGAACAATAGCTATGACTGCTGAGGGTGCACAGATTCAACACCAATCCCAGATTTCAGACCAACTGGATTCTGTCACACAACCCTTGTTTTCTCTGGCTCAGGGTGAAGAAGGTATGATGACTCAACATCCTCATTTGGTGGTGCCTATCACTTTGCAATATGGTGATAATAAAATTTCAACTACAGCTATGATAGATTCCGGAGCAGGCGGAAACTTTATGGACATTAAATTTGCAGCAGGAAATAAAATTCAGTCTATCCCTAAATCTTCACCTGTGTTAATGGAAACAGTAGACGGTTCTCCACTTACGTCAGGCCCGGTTACACATGAGACTGTGCCCTTAAAATTGATTCTGGAAGTGAATCACCATGAGTCTATATCTTTCCACCTAATTTCCTCAACACAGTTTCCAGTGATTTTGGGTATACCCTGGCTTGCTCTGCATAACCCACAGATTGATTGGAAGACTAGAACTTTGTCCTTTCCTTCAGAACACTGCTTAATGAATTGTCAACCCTCTAAGGCGACACCTGTTACCACAACAATTAATGAAATGGTTGCTACAAACTTAACTAAGCTTCCGCTACAATATCGGGATTTTGCAGATGTCTGTGATAAGAAGAATGCTGATCAGCTTCCACCTCACAGGCCTTATGATTGCCCCATAGAGCTGCTACCTGGAGCTGCTATCCCATTTGGCCGTATATACTCCCTTTCTGAGCCTGAATTGAAAGCACTTCGTGAATACATACAAGAAAATCTTGCCAAAGGCTTTATTCGACCATCCACTTCTCCAGCAGGAGCTCCTATATTCTTTGTAGAAAAGAAAGATGGCAGTCTACGGCCATGTGTCGATTACAGGGACATTAATAAAATCACTGTTAAAAACCGTTATCCCTTGCCTCTCATTCCTGAACTTCTGGAGAGACTTCGTTCAGCTAAAATATTTACGAAGCTTGATCTACGGGGGGCATATAATCTGGTTCGCATAAGACCAAATGATGAATGGAAAACAGCTTTCAGAACCAGGTACGGACATTACGAATATCTAGTAATGCCATTTGGGCTTTGTAATGCCCCTGCAACTTTTCAGCATCTAATCAATGATGTACTACGGGATCTCCTGGATCAGTTTGTTGTGGTATATTTGGATGATATCCTGATATTTTCTGATAATCTTGAAAATCACAGAAAACAGGTCTGCATTGTTCTTGAGCGCCTTCGTACCCACCACCTATACATTAAACTGGAAAAATGTGAGTTTGAACAAACAGAAATTCAGTTCCTGGGGTATGTAATAACTCCTAAAGGTTTAAGTATGGACGCAAGTAAAATTAAAGCTGTGCTGGACTGGCCCATCCCCAAGAATGAAAAAGATATACAGAGATTTGTGGGGTTTGCCAATTTTTACAGGCGTTTCATTAAGAATTTCTCTGCCGTTATTACACCGATCACTGAACTTACACGTAAAGGGACTCCTTTTCAGTGGTCCAATAAGGCTGACACTGCATTTTCCAGATTAAAGACTCTGTTTACATCTGCCCCTATCTTGGTACATCCTCAGCCAGAATTGCCATTTACTGTAGAGGTAGATGCTTCTGATTCAGCTGTTGGGGCTATACTGTCTCAAAGGACTGGACCTAAGATGTTGTTACATCCATGTGCCTTCTATTCCCGCCAGATGTTACCAGCAGAAAGAAATTATGACATAGGGAATAAAGAACTTTTGGCTATAAAAGCTGCCTTCACCGAATGGAGACATCTCTTGGAGGGAGCCACCCATCCAATTACTGTCCTCACAGATCACAAAAATCTGGAATGTATCCAATCCGCTAAGAGACTGTCAGCCAGACAAGCACGCTGGTCCCTATTTTTCTCAAGGTTTAATTTTTTTATTTCATACCGCCCTGGTTCCAGAAATGGCAAGGCGGATGCCTTGTCTAGGATAGCTGACCCCCTCCATACTACAGTAACCAAGGCCACCATCTTGCCGGAGAGCAGATTTTTAGGAGTTACCTTTCCTTCTGATCTAATGTCTCGCATTAAAAAGGGCTACTCTAAAGATCCAGTTTTTCGTGATCCTCCTCGTGATCTTCATATGACCATGCTTAATGGGTTTTGGATTTTTCAACAACGCCTGTTTGTTCCAGAATCAGTGCGACTGGACGTTTTACGCCTCTACCATGACTCTAAACCAGCAGGTCATCCAGGAATCCGAAAGACACAAGAACTACTTACCCGATCCTTTTGGTGGCCTAAATATTATGAGGATGTTAAGAAGTATGTGTCATCTTGTGATGTATGTGCCAGACATAAAACTCCTCGCTCATCCCCTGTTGGCTTGCTTCAGCCTCTTCCGATTCCTCATCGTCCCTGGGGATCTATATCCATGGACTTTATTGTGGAACTACCTCCCTCTAAGGAACACACTACTATTCTTGTTGTTGTGGACCGGTTAACCAAGATGAGTCATTTCATACCAGCTCGTGGTCTCCCTTCAGCTAAACAGACTGCTGACCTTGTTATTCGGGAAATATTTCGCTTGCATGGAGTGCCTGATGAAGTAATTTCTGACAGGGGAGTGCAGTTTACATCTCATTTTTGGAAATATTTTTGTTCTATTCTAGGTATTAATGTAAATCTGTCTTCAGCTTTTCATCCACAAAGTAATGGACAGACTGAGCGAACCAACCAGACTTTAGAACAATATTTGCGGTGCTATATTAGTTACCTGCAGGATGACTGGCTGGATTTTCTACCCACGGCGGAGTTTGCCTATAACAATGCCCAACACTGCTCCACTTCTCTGAGCCCATTTTTTGCCAATTATGGTTACCATCCAACCTTTCTAGTGAGTCTCCCAATTACTACTCCCATTCCTGCAGTCACTGACCGGCTAACCGCCTTACGAGATTCCCAAGAACTGTTGAAGGAGACTCTTTCGGAGGCTCAGGAATGTTACAAAAGAGCTGCTGATAGGCACAGAAAGGAGGCCCCAGTTTATCATGTTGGTGACAAGGTTTGGCTGTCAACAAAGAATCTTAAGCTTAGGATTCCTTCTCATAAATTGGGTCAAAAGTTCATGGGACCTTTTAAGATAATCGCTCAGATCAATGCAGTCACCTTCCGTCTGCAACTTCCGGATTCCATGAAAATACATCCGGTGTTTCACGTGGCACTGCTTAAACCTTTTCATGAAAATACTTTCCCTGGTCGAGCCTTGCCTGCCCCACCACCAGTCCTCGTGGATGGTGAAGATGAATACGAGGTGGAAAAAATTCTTGACTCCAGGATCTTCCGCAACAAGCTTCAATACTTGGTTCATTGGAAAGGCTATGGTGAGGAGGATAGATCGTGGGAACCAGTGGACAATATTCATGCTCCTGATCTTCTTCAGTCTTTCCATGCACAGTACCCTGCTAAACCAGGAAATAGGGCATCCAGAGGCTGCGCCTGTAGAGGTGGAGGTAATGTGAGGAACTGACTCTGCTGGGTTTCGAACCCTGGTTTACATGGTGCTAAACCTTTTCCTTACCAGTACACCAGCCTGCCTTTTGCAAATTTACCTGAGATCTGATACTATTGCTTGTAGAGTCAAGGTTATCAGTGACAACTCACTTCAGCTGTGTCTGGTCAGGTGTCTGGTTCTTGGCCTATAAAAGCCACTTCCTGTCTCTGTACCTTTGCCAGATTATTGTGGTTCCTGTACTCTCTAATCCAGCGTGTTCCTGTTTCTCCTTCCTGTTGCTGAATTTGGACTGTTTTTGACTTTGCTGCTTCTCCTTCCCACTGACCTCGGCTTGCCTCACTACGATTATCATCTTTCTGTTCCAGTCTCCCATCTCTGCTTAAGACCAGAAGGCCACTCAAGGCTCAGGGGCTCAACCACCTGGGTAACAAGTGGCTACCTCTGGCAGAAAAACATTGCTGATCTGGCTACTGGACTCCAAAACTTTGTAACATCAATATCATTACACTTTTTGAGGTTTGGCTTTTTCTTAGTTTAAATTGTTATTTTTTTTCGAGGACAAATCTTTGAGACTTCAGCACATCCAGGAATAAATAGGCAAATGGCCGTGATTAATTATTAATGCCATCTCTCCACTTCCTGTAACAGTTTCAAGCAGCGACGTGGTGTTTTGTTTTTAGATTACATCTTCTTTCTGTTGTAATACGAGTAACTCGTTCCTTGTAATTACTGTAATCAAACGCCCACCCGAGAATATAAAACATTTTCCCATATGTATTGATTTTACTTTGTGGCTTCAAAGTAATCTGTCTCCAATGATTTTCCTTCTAAGTGGCGCACCAGCACACTTGCTCCCATTGGATATCTAATAGAATGCTACACTTAATCTGCATCTATCGGTTTGTACTTAACATCTTTACATGTCTGCCTGCATCATGTAGACAAGTGATTTGCAAACCAAGACTGCTCTTACCTAGTGCCAGAAACCGATGTCCTATTTAAGTCTTCTTTTACCATTTGCGTGATTCCCAACTCTCTCCCATATTTAGACCTCTGTCTCTAAGGCACAGGATTAGTTCCTCTTCTTCTTAGTCTCATAGCCAACCTCAAGATTATCAATAAACCCTTATAAGAATCACGTTTACGTCACATCCCTATGTGCCTACCAGTCAAGGGAGTTTAAGTTCCTTTTTCCACTCATGGTCCATTTCCCATGACCCTCTTCCACCCATTGAGCCAATCTTGCAGTTGTGCAGTTTTTGATAAGCATGTCAACAAGCCAGAGGACTCATCCGAAGGTCGATGCAGAAGTTTGCAGAACAGTAAATGCATAGTTTACTGCTGCTTGACCTGTCATGAACACATAAATAAGGGGTCTTGCTGCTGACAATATGCCACTAATGCATACCACTTAACTCTGGGATTGGGAAAGAGACCATTAATTGATGGTGGCACAGAACTCCACCTAGAATAATAATAAGGAAGCAGAGGCTGGTGGATTGGTGCATCCCAAACACTCACACCAGTTAGATGTAACAGGTGTGAGTGTTTAGGATGGGTAAGGTCCTAAAAAGCATCATTGATAGAAATGGCAGAAAATTAACCAAATGTATATATTTTTTGTATTATCTCATTCATTTAACAGTAAATGGTAGATAGTGTGACCAAGTACCAAGCTGACTTTTCATTCCAGAGAACATTTGTTCATTTACTGATATAGCTACCACTCTAGTGACTTTACATGTCCCCTAGGTTTTGTGGTGAATAACATGTGAAGTTCAATAGTAAAAGGAATATTGAAAAATGATACAGATTTCACAGTGACTATCTGGTTCCCTAAATCCTGGGCTCCAGCGAACGGCACCTTCTTCCATCCCTTGCTCTGTAGGGTGAAGGATAATCTTACACATGGTGAGCTAGGAGGTAATAAAACCTAGGACCAACTGAGGCACCAATGAGGATACCTGAGCCAACATCACTGGTGACATTATCTGGCAAGTCTCATTATAGCTAGCAGTAAATAACTCACAAGGAAGGAATATACAAATGTCCTCCATTTTTGGACCCTCTGGCCAGTCAGGATTATAATAATTTAGATAATTTTTTAAAATCATGTTTGTGTGTGTGTGTGTCTGCATGTTGCTTATTTTAACATAACACTTACTAGAAATGGAAAATACGGTTGCGTAATAGATTTACAGGTTCACATATAATCGGACATAGATTTATGTATAAAAGGACACAGATCCAAAGTTTGTTTGAGCAGGGCCTTCTTCAACTCCTTGTCTCTGCTAATATATTTTATATGTCAATTGCTTGCTGTCATTTATCCCATCCCATAATTATAACGTGATTTGGTACTATATAAATAGTAATAATAAGGAAGCAGAGACTAGTGAATGGATGCATGCCACACAAGTACTAACTTGCTCAAACAGTTTCCTCCTCTACTAAGAAAATGTCTCAAAAATACAACAAAATAAGCAAACGGAGCAGAACTCCACATGCCTACCGGAGCTCCATGATTAGAGTAGCCTACTGCATATGCAGATAAGAAAGAATGTGATTGGGCACTCAGGAGGTAGAGGGCACGGAAAAACTTATTCTAACAAGCTTACATTATTCATAGGAGATGGTGCTCTGCTCATAGAGCAGATTAGAAACATTTGTTTACCTTGCACAATAATTGCAATGTAATTAAATAATATAATCATGCAACACTGTAGGCACTATTACAATTTCATCTCATTGAATTCATTATAATGCCTGGAGTCCCCTGGCAGTGTTGCTCCATTCAGTGTTAAATCATTGTCAAGTAGTTTAACACTAGATCGAGGTCTCTGGCCATACACGGCCCGGCCCTACTGGAGGCGTGGCTAAACCAGAGATTATACACTTCCTTCAAGTTATACCGAATCATACCAGCAATGATAACTGAATTAAACTTTGTATGTCACCGTTATTATCGCCCTATTTTGGTGAATATGCTTCAGACAGTAAACAAATAATTTAACACATTTATAGCAGACTGAAAATCAGATTAGAAATATAATTCCCACACCCTAGCCTTGTTTAACAAAGCTTGTATTTGCAAGTGATAGAGTATGACTAGGTGAGAAAGAAAGGCTTGCTTTGCTGAGATTAGATTTGTGGCTGCTCTGTTGCAATTAATACAGGTGCTGAAGTGTAAAAAGAGGAAGCGGGAGCACATCATGTTTCCAGACACTATTCTGCATGGATGGTGATGTCATCTGTGCAGTTATTCCCCATGCAGTCTGCGGGCCTTAATGTTGGGCAGAACTGGTACATACATCTTACTCTGCCTGAGATTATTCAGAGTTTTACTCTCCAGTGGCACCTGTCACCATTTTAGTGACATCAGCTTAAATAGCTGTTGCTCAGTACTGTAACCCCCAGTACTACCCATACAGTAGTACTTGCCCTCTACTCTACCCTAACACACCATTCTTCACATTCACCACTACACTACATTTTAATATCACTAAACTATAACCCCCACTTTACACTCTACGAAACGTTAACTGCTGGTACACTACAATATCATCAAAGGATCACTATAGGCACCCAAACCACTTCAGCTCAATGAAGTGGTCTGGGTGCCAGGTCCATCTAGGATTAACCCTTTCTGCTGTTAACATAGCAGTTTCAGAGAAACTGCTATGTTTACAAATGGGTTAATCCATCTTCCGCGCTTCTTACTGTGAAAATCAGTGAGATGACGCTGACGTCCTTAGGAAAGCATTGAGAAATTGTTTCCTATGGACTGATTGAATGCGCGCGGCTCTTGCCGCGCATGCGCATTCGTCGGATGATGTCAGAAGAGGGAGGAGAGTCCCCATCGCCAAGGGAGCCCGGCGCTGGAGAAAGGTAAGAATTTAACCCCTTCCTCCCCCTTCAGCCCGGCGAGAGTGGGACTCTGAGGGTGGGGTCCTTTAAACTTGAACCCGATGCTATACCTACATACATAACATTAACTCTTACACCACAAAAAATTCTACACATTAACTCCTACCTTACCATAACACTTGCACTAACCCTATTTAAAAATATTATGCAATATAATTGATACATTATAGCAAAGTATGTATTATGGTAAGGTAATGCCATCTCTAAGCTCTGGTGACACTTGTTTATTATGCTGTCTGTATAAACCCCCAGAAGCAAAATATCACCTAACAGGGTTATACACTAAAGTGAGAATTCAAAGTGAATTTAAAATGAAAGGTCAATATAGGCAACTTAAAATTTTAAAATCACCTTGAATTCCCACTTTTGTAAATAATCCTTTTATGCTGTTAGGATCTGACATCACTGCTATACTCTTGCGCATGCACGAGAGTACAGCATTGAGGTCTACGGTTAATCTTGTGAGATCACAGGATTCTTCATAGACGGAGCCAATTCCCTGCATCCGTCACTGGTGACGGTTGTCTGGATTGACTCTGTAGCTCTGCCGAGAGTGTAAGAAAGTCAGATGGAGGAGAAATACAGAGAGAAAATAGTCCCTACTTTGTCTCAGTATATCTTTTGTCTGGGTTGGAATGTCAGTGAAATTCCAATACAGTTAAAATGAGTATTTCATAAATATTCTATCTTTATGAAATACTAATTTTTCAGTGGGGGTGGGGTGACCGTGCCCCTTTAAGTCCAAATAATACTGAATAACGTTCTGTAAGTCATACTGAGTCACCATGAAGCTGATAAAAGACACAGACCTGTTCTATTAATTCGCTTCACGAAAATATGTTTTTAAATAGCTATTTTCATGCAGGGATGTGACTGGCTGTTCAGCTTTGCTACTTGTTGGGCACAAAAATGTGACCATATTTGCTCACCTCATGTATACAGCTGAAAAGTTCCCAATGGAAAGCGCTAAGGTGATTGGCCAAATCCTCAGCCTCGATCCGGTGGATATGAGGGTCCTCCGGCGGTAACTGGACCTCCTCTGGAAGTGGTACCTGTTCAGGCATCGGTGAGGTATGAATGAAAGGTTACACACATGTATTTATATCAATAGACATCTTTTACTACAACAGGCATCTTAAACACGGGCCCCTAGATGTTGCTGGACTGAAACTCCCATGATTATCCAGTTATCTGCTGCCTTCTTGGAATTCTGGTTATAGGCCATGAACACCTGGAGAGCTAGAGTTTGAGATCCCTGGCAATAATCTTCAACTATATAGTCAACGATTGTTTCCTAATTTTTGAGATTTGGCTATTAATTCTGTGCCGTTTTGAGTCCAGTGAACAAATACTACAATGTGTCTCATAATACTTCATGATACAAAACTCCAACAACATGCACTCTTAATTAACTAAACAAACAAAAAAACCTAACCCTGCACACAAATCGAAAAATGTAAACAAAAACGTCCAGTACAAGAATTTGCCAACATCTCTTCTATAACTACCATAAAATGAGCCTGCAAAACCTCCCCAAAACCTCAAATCTACTTCATCAAAAATTAACATTATATACTCACATTGTAAATGTATCATTCCTATAAAAAAATTCACTTTCAGCGGTGCTGGTTGGTTCTTACCAAAGAGCGCAGTTCCTCTCGGTTGCAGGCAAAAAGATGACTGTTTATCCCCAGGGTAGTGAAGATACAGCCATCATCTGGCTTTAATAGGACCTTATCTGAGGAGAGAGGGGGTTAGATTAGAAATATGCCTTTCGATCTTTTCTCCAACCAAGCAACTTTAGGGTTTTTGGGCTGGTGTCCTTTTTCTGGGTACCTCAAAGAAAAGTCCCCAAAAGAACTAGGCTCTATCTCTGCCTCCTCCAACGGCAGCACCGAGGAATTATGTAAGTGGGAAAAAAGGGATATTTATCACTTTTAGTGCCACCAGTGGGAGGAGGTGCAGAGGAACACTTTAGCGTTAAGAATACAGTTTTGTATTCCTAACATTCTAGTGTTCCTTTTAGTGTGCAATATCTCTCGACCAAAAATGATGCAAAAATAAAAATAAGTACTACATATTGCTAACATTAAAATAAAATAGTGGAGATTTGTCTTCTGAATATTATTGAAAAACACTGTATTAGCGAAACGCTGTAAAGTGAGGTGTCATTGTGCAGGTATTCTGAATGCCACATACGAAGACTCAATGACTTTCACAAATGGCTGCTGGTAGCTTCTCTTAAAGGCTTAGCTGTAAATCTGTTCTCAATTTTCGTAATATCAATAATAATATTGATACAAGGTATAATGCCAATGATTCTCACCCCCAGCACTGGTAACAGCCACCAAGACGAGTGGTTCCTCTCTCTGTACTTGCTCTTCGGAATACTGCAGTTTTTCAGACACGGATGTGAGAATGTCAGACACAGAAGCAGAGAGGCGGCTCCGGATCGTAACATAGGAATGATCAGGCATGTATACCCTGCAGAAAACTGACACAAAGCGAGTTAGGTGACACAATGAAAGGAGAAGGTCTCTACCGAGAGACAGCGACTCAAGTAAAATGATGCAACAGCAGGGATTTTTAATTGATGGCACAGCAGTAGTTGTTTACAATGTGTCACTAATTGCATGATGGCTGATAGACTACAACTGGTGGGGTGTCCAAGGTTGCTATCACTGTGCTGCGGAGACTGAGAGATAAAGTAATGCTGTATGACATCACCCGGGTTATTCACAAAACTACTAAATGTATTGAATTGAAATCCGACTGGCAAAATCAAGGCTAAATCAGCCAAGCTCTTATTATACCTGGGTTGGAGAAAGTTTTGAGATTTTTGCAATTTGGAATTTTATTTGCTAAAAAGAAATGTAAGAATGTGTTACTGGTGTAGAAAACAAACTAATGTACCAGGACACAAAACACACAAAGGAATGTGTCATATCAAACATGATAATATATATATATACTTATTTTTGTTTGTTAAATCAGGTTTCTATGGTAAAAACAAATTAAAATTACACATACATTGGTTATATAAATTAGAAGAACCACCCCATTCCACTAAGTGAATATTGCACTCTAAGAGAAGCCCTGAAATTTAATCTCACAAGAAACTGTTGTTTTTTGTTTTTAATATAAAATATTGCAGGTTTCATTTTAAGGCATTGATCCTGCAAACCTTTCACCCATCAGTTAGTGAGTAGAACACAAATTTCACAACTCAGGGGGTTTATTCATGAAGCAGTGAATTGAAGTGAATTGAAAACGGAATTGCAACATTCAGGATAAAATAGCAAATAGGGAATTATTTTTCAACTCATTTACAGTAACAGCTTGACTATTGTATCTTAAATTTTGCAATCTGGTTTTCAATTCACTAAATTACAGAAAAGTATTTCCATTGTTTTTAATTCACAACAAGTCACTGTTTAACAATGTGGTGCAAGACAAAGAAAAAGGCAATGTTTAGAGGGACTGGAGGTACTTACTCTCATCCGATCCCCTGAATGCTACCCGAGGCTGGAGGCAGGAGTCAATCCTTCGGAAATGGCGGAAGAGAGGCTTGACTTGCTTTGAGCAAGGTGCAGCGGTGCCATCAGTGAGTCTGGAAATAGGTAAGACATAGCAATACATGGTTTGCGATATTAGTTTCCCATCTGGGTGCCAGTAAATGATATACTGTGTGTGTAGGTGCAGAACCATCATGCTGTGTACTTAAAACACTGGTGTCCAAGTGGTAGAACCCAGGCTGTTGTGGAAGTACGCCTCCAACGAGATTGGCAAAGAATTATGGTACTTGTAGTTCTACAACAGCTGGAAGGCTACCCTTTGACCACACGTGACTTACACTGTGACCCATTGCATGCATGTGTGACAATGAGTGCATGTGATATACCCCCGTCAGCATATGCAATTATGTGACATGTCACCTGAGCTCGGCCGTCTCCACCAGTCGATGCAGGCGGATGACGTTCCCCTCCAGTTGTGGGAAATTAGGAGCATCACGCATCACCAGGACATAGAAATCCTAAGGGGGACAAAAGGTGTATGTGACAACCAGACGTCTCCTATGGAGGCATCGAACAGTGAATCTGATTCGGCAACATGCAATGTTGTGCAGGGCAAGTCAAAACATGCAGCAACTGTGGACAAACAGCCTGTTGCCTTCTCCTCGTCTTGGTCTACAACAGGGATAGGCAACCTTCAGCACTCCAGATGCTGTGGACTACAATTTTCACAATGCTCTTAGAGAGACATAATGCTGGCAAAGCACCAATGGAGATGTGGTCCAAAATATCTGGAGTGTCGAAGGCTTCCTACCCTTGGCCTGCAGGATCCATAATCCAACAAGAGCCAGCGCTTAGGATGATAGGAGCTGTAGGACAACCACAGCTGGAAAGCCACAGGCTGCTTGGTCTTTTTAAGTTAGCTTTCTCATAACGCAGAGCTTTCTAACCTTGATTAACTGGAACGTTCTCTCCTCCTCTTGCAGCGAGTCCTTGTAGGTGTCCAGAAGATGCAGAAGAGCGCAGAGGACAGCCTGCTTCTTCTGCACAGTATCGCTACCCTCCCAGGCTGGAGAGGATTGACGACTACAGTCACAGAAAGTGCCCACGTTAAGGAGAGTAACACAAAGCCGGGGAAAGATTAACCTCGTTCATGGAGTTACAAAAGATGGATTCATTATTCGTATCGACATTGCATGTAAACCACAAACCTAGGAGAATGTAACCCCACAGTGACACTCAGAATTCTGATTATCGGATGGTATACATAGAATTCTGGATAATGTTAAAAATAAAAACAGCAAATCAAATTAATGTACATGAAATGTCACTTATTAAACTTCACACTTTGTGCTTCAAGAGTAGCCTTTAATCCTATTTGCTAATTTATTTTCACTTTATTATTATTTTATCTTTTATTCTTCATTATTAATGATTTATAACAGATTCGTTTTACTTGTACTACAATTTATGGCATCTTATTTCTCATGTCGGCATTTTTGTTTTTAATAAAATGGTATAATTACTTTATGTACACTTTACATCTCTGCTATTTGATTTATTTTATTTTCATGCTGAGGATCTCAATATACAAACCTAAAATTCTTCATAAAATTCACAGAACAGCTTCTATTTCATTATGCAGTTGAGATCCGCTGGTTAAAAAAACGTAGTAACAGTTCTCAGAATCTCTTTACCTATATTTTTAACGCCTGATCTTTCCAATGTAGCAGGGGTCGACAAACCCCAGGTTGCCATAGTGACTAGCAATTATGTCCTGGAGCACGGTTATTGACCTGCCTAAATGGTGTGTAGCCGCAACATGAGTGGGCTGATTTCTTAAATAAAAAATAAAAAAATGCTGCACACAGCAGAGTATCATCATCCATGGGGGATGCCATATTATATGATGTTCCAAAACACCTCCACACATGCACACGCAACTGCAGGGATAATTATTTGGCTGTCAGTATCACACAGGCAAAAGAAGTATACAAACTGCACTGCCACTACAGGGTCTCATTTAATAAATGCATGGGGGGGTGAGGAAGGGAGAAACATGTTTACAATTTTATAAGTCTGCAGCAAATTTAAAAAAAAATGTAAAAAAATAAAAAAAATATATATCACCCATTGTACAGCGCTATGGAATTTGCTGGCTCTATATAAATAATAAAATATATATATATATATATATAATTTTTTTTTTTTTACATATATCTTCGGCTCAAAAGAAATGTGTCATGCTCTGATTTGTACAGCATTAATTGCCTGGAACTCCCTTTATCAACCCACACAGTAATTTTCTTTTCATTTAAAAAAAAAAAAAAAAAAGACAAAAATAAGAAATCTGGGTTATTCACTAAATTCAGAATTGTAATTAAGTGAATCCAAATAATAACATTTGAACAGATTCTCCTACTCGGTTATAGCCGTGGCTATTTTATGCATGGCTGTTTTTGCAATTTGATGTTTTTGTGATCACTACAGTTAAGCAAATTTTAGAGCAACTACAAAAACATACTGTGTAGAAGGAACATTATAGTGTGAGCACTATGGTGTCAGGAACACAAACATGTATTTATAAAATTATTGTTCAGGTGACCGGCCCTCCTTCCCCTTCCTTTGAAAAGGTAACTTTATTTTACTCACATTTTTTCTTGTGCTGGTCTTGTCAGGGATGGCTCCACCTCGCTCTGCCTCCATCAAATTTGACAATCTCAGTCAATCTAATGCTTTCCCATGAGAAAGCATAGGGAGGCTATTGGGCATGCGCAACAAAACTCTGCACTGCACCAATCAGGTTCTCCTCGAAGAGATGCAGTGAATCGTCAGGAACGTTCAGAGCCTCCATGCAGCACTCACACAGGAATCACCTCTAGAGGCCGTCTGAGTGACTGCCTGTAGAGGTGTTCCTAGGCAGCAATGTAAAACACTGCCTTTCTAAAAAGGCAGTGTTTACATTAAAAGGCCTGAATGCTGTGTTCTGGAGACTATAATGTCCCTTGACTGAAAGATTACCAGGTTCAGCAGGACTGTCCCTAATTTAGTGGTTCTGTTGTGCTATCACCAACATTATTAAAGTTATTCAATAAATTGAGAATTGTCAGGAATTCAAACGGAATTTCAAAATTTAGGCCAAAATAGCTGACTTACAAACATTGTATTTTCATTTTGGCCTTAAACATGAAATTCACTTTGAATTAAACCCAGTTTAATAAATAATAATATATAAAATAAACTTACTGCATTAATTATAAATGTGCAGGATTTGCAATTTCTACAGTAAGCTTTCACCAAAGCATAAGATGACAGGGGAGGCAAGCCACCTAAATGGTGGTTTTAACACAATAGGGTCAGGAATACATGTTTGTATTCTATAAGCTATTAGCAGGAGGTAATATTAGCTACTCACATATATCTATCATAAAATTATTTCTTAACAATACATTTCCATATAATTCATTTTGTAACATCTTCCCTTGTGATGTACATTTTATGAAAGAAACTGCAAGCTTGCTTTTTAGAACGTTCAAAGATTCACTCTTTTGTTTTTTGTTTTCCTGAATAAAATAATTGTGGCAAAATTTTAACTTTTGTATATGGTTATAATAACCGAATGGCGTCTTCTTTCAATTTGTCATTTGACTTCAGTCAATTTTTCTTAATTAATTAAGTAACTGCAGTCACACATGCATGTGGCAGATGTATACACTCACGGCAAGCTACGAGACAATTAACCCATACGGCCTCTTAAAATACTATACCCATGAGTATAACATTATTATTCTATCAGGGTTTTTTACTAAAGTGAGAATTCAAAGTGAATTTCAAATTTAAGGTGAAAATAGCTGAACTGGAAAAAAATCTCTAATTCAGCTGTGCTTTCAGTGCAACTAGCCAAGCCTTAACTTTGAAATCCAATTTGAATTAATTTAGAATTTTCACTTTAGTATATAAAAACATATATATTTCTTAATTGTCAATGTCTACGGTCTCTCTTAAAAAAAGACAATGCATCTAAAATCTGCCTTACGTTAAATATATTAATAAAATACATTAAATGTATATGAATATTTACTGAAAGGAATAAAAAAAAAAAAAATTTGGTGTGCCAAAACCACTAAGGAGCATTTTAAACATGCTAATTACAAATAACAGTATTTAGCATCATAAAATCTCTTCCTCAGAGACTCTACTGTAACAGGGAATATAAGCAGACCGTACACTGCTTTCATTGGGTATTTAACGCAAAGGCTGTTATGACAACAAAGATGGCGGCCTTATTGAGAGGCCAGTAAGCATGCACGCAGTGTGAATCTGGTTGGTACAGTAACAATCATAGTTACAGCACTGCCTCATTTCTGAGCAAATCACATGATGTGCCACTGAACTACACTGCCAGACTGTCATTTATTGCAATTGATTATTAATCCTCATCAAATTATTTCTCTTGGTAAGAGACATGGTGCTGTTCATTTCTTTACTATGATTTAAACAGGAAATGGGTCTTGTATTTAAAGTATGCAGTAGCCAAGTTTGTTTGTTTTTCATTATACTTTTTTGCATGGAAATATATCTAATTAACATAAAAAAAAAAAAAAAACAATAAATAAGCGCATTTAAACAACCCCCCAAAAAAATTAAACAAAATATCACTGGGCTTTGTATTCCTAACACTATAGTGTTCCTTTAAATATGCATTTTTTTCATTGGGGGTATATTGTAAAAACAGCTAACAAAAGATGCAAATCTCTTGTCTGCTGCCTTTGTAAACCCTACCCTGCTAAACATGCCCAGACTTTCTGTGGCTGTCCAATCACAGACTTTCCAAGGCAGCTCAATGAGAAGTCTTTGCAAGGTAGGTGTTCTGAGCCCTTGCTGCCTCCTTAGTTTAGCTCTATTGAGCTAACCAAACCAGGAAGTAACAGGACCTGCTGTCTGATAGACAGTCAGAGGGGTGTAACAAGGATAATTTATAAAAGTTCCAATTTTTATTGAAATTTACACTTTTGTAATAGTGCTTTAGGGGTCTGGAATGTCCCTTTAATGCAGCCTGCTCTCTCCTTCTGTAGTGCATGGGTGTCTATGGTTTTGGCACTCCAGCATGCTACCTTATTTACTAAAGTAAAATAACATTCTCGTGTATGTCTCCCTCAAATCGGCACAATTTCTACAAATTTGGTCTGCTTTCTACTTCATATAACCAACCCTTACCCTCACCCATCACCTATTAGGCACTAACTCCGTCTCCACCCTAATAAATCAAATCCCCTGGGGCCTGGCTTTTCTATAAATCTATCCAAATTAAAACGGTAGATGACTTCTGGTGGGAAACAAACATTGTTCTGAATTATTCTACCTCACATCTACCAGCCAACACATGTCGCAACGCAAGAGATGTTTTAAAAAAAAAAACACTTCTCCAACTAAGTATAAAGGGAAGGGCTGGAAATCTTACAACTAAGCATTACGAGGGTGTTGTAATTCCTTCAATAAAGCTATTCATGCTTAATTGTATGTGAAAGAAATGATGCCTAAAGAACACAAGATGTGTGGGAGTAGACAAACAACAGTGAATTGATGACTATATGTAATCAATGTGTAATAATGTTGCCGGTGACATTATTTAGGGATTTCCTACAGCTAGCCATTTAGGAAGATAAACTGCAATTTTTTTGCAAAATGAAATAAATAAAAATCAAGGGGATATTTTTGAAAAGTAAATGGAATGGATTGTGTAAATTTCAAGTAGGGGCCTGGTTAAAAAAAAAAAAAGAAATGAATAAAAATGTCTAAAAAAATTTTTTTTCAAAACAAACAAAAACGTACAGAATATGAAGCTTTCAGTGGTTCCGTTCATCTTCAGGAACTGTGTCTTAAATTATTAGTCTTAAATATATTACGAAAAAATACTTTTAGAATTTGTGAACCATAAAAAAACACTATAAGGATATTCATTGAAGTCTAAATTTCAAGTGGATTTCAAATTTAAGGCATTCTCCAAGTCAGCTGTGCTTCTGCATAAGCTATTTTGGCTTTAAACTTGAAATTCATTATGGTTTTTCTTGGATTTCCCAGCTATTGTCATTTTGATGAATAACCCTCTATGGGCGCTCTGTTACATTTAATTATTTAACAGTAAACACTCTGAATTTTACATATTTTGTTTTTGTTGGTTTCTATTTCCAATTTTTGCTTTGCGAATGCAATTACTACATTGCAATATTGACCTCTCTTCCTCATAGCAATCAGTGGTAACATCAAATTGGTAATTAGTTTTCAGTGATTCAAGTGTGACTGTCACTTTCCATTATTGGAATATCATGTTTACGTATCCTTCATATTCAAAATGGTGGTGTTTTGTGGGATCTAAAAAAAAAAAAAATAATTTTAAGTTAAACTCTAAACAACCTAAACGCTATAGTCTGCTGTTGCCTCCAACACCCCTGTATCACCCCCGCACTTTAATATTAAACCTTAGAACAGTTTGATATAAACTGGGAATTTTATTTGAGTGCAGAGATTGAATACAGCTGGATTCATCTAATAAGACAGAACTAATAAATTGATATTATCACTTTTAATTTTGTCCAACCTGAATTACATTGATTGGCTGAGAGTGCAGGGGGGAAGTATATCTCAGCCAATCAATGTCACCCAGGTTGGATGGCACTTATTGGTATAATGAGGAAGTATGTATTTGGCTAATGAATGGGCATCTCCTCTACAACAAGCTTTGGTTTATATTGAACCTCTCTTAGAAGGTTTGATGGTAAACCTGAGGTTGGCGCCAGGCTATTTTAGGCAATCTAACCACAATAACAAGCAGTAGTGGATATATTGCTTAAAGCCGGGGTAGGCAACATTCAGCACTCCACATGTTGTAGACTACATCCCCCATAATGCTCTTACAGCCCTAATGTTAGGAAAGCATCAAGGAAGATGTAGTCCACAACATGTGGAGTACCGAAGGTTGCCTACCCCTGGCTTAAAGTCTACCTTTAATATAGGAATCCAAAAATATATCTAAGAACTGAGCGCCTCCATCCTAGCTCCTTGTCCATCTTTGTAATAACGCCTGCACTTTTTTGCCTTTTCTTGAAACTCCCACTGTGTGTGTTGGCATCTGTAATGGAGCTCCTGTACCCCGAAGAGACTGGAGCTCCGTTGCATTTGGTGGCAGCGGTGGGATGGCTTCCTCGTGAGAGGAACAGCATCCTGGAGACCACGGAATAGTTATGGATTGATATGGAGGGATAGAGCCAGGTATCGTGCAGCGTCCCTGTCTACAGCGATATGTAGCCAGCTAGTCCCTGGACAGCGCTCGAAGTGGAGGAGGAGTTTCATTGGAGGTTGCAGAACCTTTTGACCCTACAGGATTGGCCGGTATCAGAAGCGGCCACGTTGGACTGCAGAGAGTTCCTGCTTAACCCTCAACACGTAGCCTCGTCTAGTGCTTGTAGGGAACCTGCTTCACAGCTATATCATTAGCTCTTGTAAGAGCTTCACAGCTATACTCTCTGGAGGAGAGGCCTTCCCACTAAGTCTCTGGACTCAGGAGTCTGGTCCAGGACGGGAAGGGACAGCGAGACCCCAACCAAGCTGTGGCGCTTCGTGGGGTCTACGGTGCTTATGGTGTCCGGTGCGGTGCTTATGGTCCTCAGCATCAGCTAGGAAGCATCGATTGGCGGAGGTACCCAGTCGGGGTGCCAGGCGGTCCATCACAGCATCTTAAAAAGTAATCTGCATATTTACAAATAATAACAACATTTAAAAAAAAATTGGTACAAAATTACATATAGACAGAATATAGATAAGTTATTTTACCAAGACTTAAAAAAAAAATATTTCATATCACACAATACAGTTTTTTTTGTTTTTTTTTTATATTGACATTGAATCTACATTTTAATGATTTTTATCCAGGTGATAGATTATTTCTAAGATAAATATGTAACCTATACTCATTAAAAAGCACTATATCAATGGGCTTTATCCAGAACATACCGGGGTCTGGAAAACATCCAATCTGGCGTTCAAAATATGATACTGAACACGCTGTTTAGCAAACTCAAAGCAGATGGATCTTTCCTCTAAATAATAACTGTTACAAAGGCTAATTAAATTTTTAATTAAACAGTCATCTATAAACAATTTAAATCATTCTTTGACAGGTTGCCTGGCTGGCCTTCAGGACCAGGGTGCCTTGGAGATGTGGAACACCATGGAACTACAGTGGGAGAAGACCCCCGAAATCCGTGTTCCACCGAAAGTGGGTCAATTGTGACTAGAGCAGTGGTTTCTAAACCAGTACGTCAGGCACAACCACAGACAATGGTTGAGGATTTTTGAACAATTTTATTCTAATGGTGGTACAACCAAAATCTAGATCGTTGGTATGCCAAGTATGCTGTAAGAACTGGCATCCTTGATGGGAACCAGTGGTCTCGAGCAGTGGTACTGTTCCTAAGTAAAGGGTGCCACACATGGCACTAAGGGGCTGCCTACAGGGCGTTTATCTATTTTGTGAAAATATTGAGCTTGATGTGTTGTGACATAGCCAAGTGACTTGTCGCAGTAAGAAGTGATAACGGCAAAGATTATTTTAGTGGAGCAGAGAACCTGGTAAATGAAAGATAGGGGGGTCCTTCTTGGGCAGGAATTTAAAGGAAGAGTAGGTGAGAGACAGCACAAGAAGTCTCTGTTTGATTAGGTACACAATTTCTAAAGATGAGTGGGTACTCAGGCTCATCAGTGTTCACCATCGCTGCTCTACAGCAAGAATACCAAACAAAGACTCTGTAGGTGTTATAAGACTATAATTTTCATAATTTCTACTTGCCAACAGGATTTGTGGTCCCAAACAAGAGCTTAAGAGCCACATTTGGACACACGTACTCCAGACATTTAAATACTTCGGAGCCTGGTAAACATGGTGCCAAGCATCACAAAGACTGGAAATGATTTGCAGCTATGTGACATTTGCTCCTTCCCAGACTCATCTCCAAGACATCTCTTGTGCTGCATCTGTTTAGAATGCAATGCCTTCTCCCGTTTGACTCCCTGCCAACTTTCATAGCCTCAACTGCTCCTCGAAGCCCATCTATTCAAAGAGTTCTGAAAGTCACTTTCTTGCAACCTTCACAATCATCTACATAAATGATCCCTAACCAATGGTGTGTGCCACCTGTGCCCTAACGTTCCTTTGGACTCGTAGAATTCTCAAGACCTTTTACATAACATTCAATGAGTGGCGGCTGAGTTGTAGCTGTTATATTATACAGTATAGTGTTAAAGTTGAAGAAAATTGTCATCATAACCCCCGTGACATTCTCAAGCTGCCCTGTAGGGTCAACTGTGCTCAAGCAGGGCATTCCTCTGATACAAAATAACATATGTAAACAGCAATTGTGAGGTGCTAGCATTATAAAAAAGAGCAACCAAGTGCAATATTTAAAGAGAAATGTCACTCTCTGAAATTTACTCGTGTTAACTGCTTTTACGAAATGCTCTGCTTTATTTGGAATTTGTAGTAAAGATTTAGCAAATTACATCATAATCCAGTTCAGATACGGTAAAACCAGGACAAACATTGCAAAATAAAGAGGAGAAATAGAAATGTGGTTTCATGTCTGATCTTCCCTGTAGGCTTTCTCTATGCTGAGTTAGGTGCACAAGACAGAGAATATAAAAATGATTGATAGGGAGATAAAATGGCGGTACCCAGATGCAGGATAGAAAGGTATGGATTTGGACATTTACTGATATTTTCCAAACCCCACATATAACATATTTGTCAAAAAGGCATACATAAACATATTACGGAAAAGCATGAGTAAGGACGCTTTCCATTTAATTCTTGTGATCAGCAAAGATGATGGACCCATGCAAAATTATACTGAATTCTGTGCAGTTACATAAACAAATCCCACATGGCATAAAAAAACTTGCTAAAATAATGAACATTGAAGGAGTGGAAGCCAGAAAGACCACAAAACACACTGGAATAGGAAGTATTATTAGATTATTTTTTAATTTATGTACCCATGAATAAAATGGGTATATTAAAATCTGATACACTATCAATTTATAGATTTCGTTTTCTCCTAGACTTTAAACCTATAAAATTTTACTGAAATGTAATATTACTATTGACATACAAATGTTAATGTATAGGGAGCTCACAACACTGATTTGGAGGCACTGGAGCACTTCAACAGAAACCGCCATTATCGACTGCCAGTTATTTATATTTTGCTTTATTATGTATATATTCAAACAATCATCTAACTTACCTAATTCATTTTAAACGCTAGGAAACTGTTTTAATTATTGTGTTGCTAAGGACTCTCTAGCAGCAAACTCATGATTAAATATAATTTGCCAAATGTACTGATAAAGTGCCAGTGTATTGTACAGAGATGTATAGTGAATTTATTTCCATGTTGCATTCAAATTTACTTTCATTGTGTGAGAACATAAAGCTCAACTCTAGCCTACATTTTCTTTTTGTTTAAATAAAGCAGCGGCCTTTGTATGCAATCCAGTGTGCACACTCCTATGTTACATGGATTTATAAAGCCTAAGATAGAAGCTGGGCTGTTGCCTATGGTATTGCCATTTAACGCAAGTTTTTTTGGTTTATATACTGTTAATATGGTGATTATTAACCATAATGCTAATATAAAAACTAACTCAAGGTCACCAGGGATCTGATATTACTAAATATACATTAAAAGGCACACTATAGTGTTAGGAATACAAACATAAATTGTTAACCTTAAAGTCCTGGAGTGGGTATTTAGATGACCCCACTCTCCCCCCTAGATCGTAATGAAAAGGTGATTAAACATAACTTTTCTCCCTCGCGGCACCTGTCTTGCTGTGGCTAGTCCTGCCTCCATGGCTGAGATCATCAATCTTGATGATCTCAGTCAATCCAATCCTGTCCTATAGGAAAGCATTGGGAGGCTATTGCGCATGCGCCAATCAGCACCTGCTCATAGAGATGAATTGAATCAATGCATCTCTATGGGGAGAGTTTAGTGTCTCCATGCGGAGGGAGACTGCAGTGATTCTGGTGACTATAGTGTCTCTTTAATGCTACAGTCACAAGTGATCTAATATCACAGAATAAAAATTATTGCTACAGTCAAATAATGAATAAATGCTTTCCAACAAGCTGCAACATCACGTAACCAAGTGTTACTTGGCCAGTATAGTGGAAGCGCCTCTGGTGGCTATCAGTTCAGCAAAATGTCAATGTTTTACCTTGAAGGGTTAAACATACAGGACCACTGTGCCCAGACCATGTCATTGAAATAAAGTCATCTGGGAGACTTTAGTGGTCCTTTAATACAATGGGGAGATTTATCAGGGCAAAAGACATACAATGTTGGTTGCAAACAGTGTTAATTTTGTCGACTAACAATTTTAATAAAATTTTAGTCAACTAAAATTTTTGAGATTTAGTCGACTAAAACTAGACTAAAGCTAAAACAGTTGAGATGACTAAAATACGACTAAAACAGCTTTTTAGTCAAATGACTATGACTAAAACTAAATTGAAATTTTCCGCCAAAATTAACACTGGTTGCAAATTGCTAAATGTGGAGAAACGTTCTATTTGTTCCCACGGTGATTGCTCCATATTTAATAATTTGCCATATAGTAGGACCTGTTTTTCCTTGATAAATCTAGAATATTAGAATATATCTCAAAAAACATCTCATTAACGTAAGTTCATAAAAACGGTTAAAACATGTTATGTTGCAGGAGCATGACCACCTTAATTAGTGGAATGTGAGTAGAGCTTTATCACCAAAGCTTCCATTATAGGTTATAAAACAATATGAGGATGATCCAACTAATATTACCGATATGATAAACTTAAGAGGATGTTATAGGAACAGCAATAATTTTACAAATACATTAGCTTGCAGTGACAAGGACATGGCAAATCTGTGCTCCCAAATTAACTATTTTTAGGAAAACCCCAAATATACCCCTTATTTAACCCTCTCCATGAGAAATACTGCACATCAACCTACCCCCAGGTACTAGCCTTTTCTACTAGTCCATTTTAATGTCCACTAGGGTCACTTGCCACAAACAAACCTTCAATTTTGTAAAAGGATATTATTGCTGTAATTGACGAAGAAGCTCTTCCGTTGGCATAAACAGAGTGTGCGTGAGGATAAAATCGTCCAAGGCTAACTCTGGGAAAAACAAGACAAAAAGAGCAGGTGAGGAGCAAAACAGGTAAGAAGATAGGAGAACAGGGGAAATTGGGGGCAAAGAAAGAAAATGCCAGTGAGGAGAAAACAATGACAGAGATAAGAATGCAGGTGAAGAGATGGAACATGCAGGAAAATGAAGGAGACAGCAGGTGGGGAGGAGTCCAACAGAGAAAGATAATGGGTGAGGGGGCAGCAGTAGAGAGCAGATATGGGGGAAATGGAGGCAAAGGAGTCTTGGAGGGGGTAAATATAAAAGCAAGCAAACAGGTAAGTGAGAGTAAATAGGGAAAAGGTGAAGGGGAGAAACCAGTAGAAAGAGAGAGGATGGGGATCCAATAGGAATAGAGAGTTGTTAGGTTAACCAATAGAAAGAAAGAGTTGATGAGTGGGATAACCAATAGAAAAAGCGAGAAAATGGGTGAGGGGGGAACCAATGGAAAGAGAGAGAAAGTGGATGAGGGGGGAACCAATGGAAATAGAGAGAAAGTGGATGGGGAGGGGAACCAATGGAAAGAGAAAGAAAGTGGATGAGGGGGAAAATCAAAAAAGATAGAGATAGTGGTTGAGGGGGGAAAACCAGTAGAGAGCAACGAGAAAGAAAGAGGGCCCATTAAGGAGGAAAAACAGGAAAATTTTGTTACAAATGAAGAGAGAAGAGGGAGAGAAATAGGGAGTTATTCAGGGTGAAGACTTAGACGGGAAAAAATGTCCGAGATGTAGGGAAAATGTTTGAGAGAAAGAAAGAGTAAATAAGGGTGGAAAGCTGTAGAGAGCAAGCAAAGAAAAAATCCTTTTGTGTGGTATTATATGAAAATTGAGGAGCGAAGGTTATAGAAACACGAGGGAAGTATAAACACCACTGCTGCGTCTAACTATTCTCTACTTTGTATTCATTTTGTGAGAGAAACAAACAGAGAGAGATAGAGAGAGAGAGTCTGTCGGGAAAACAAAACGGATTAGATTGGGCGGATGAGTGTAAAAAAATTGTGGAATAAAAATAAAGCAGGTGAAAGGGAAAACCTGTAGAGAAAGAGAGAGCAGGGTGTGATGAAAATTCGGATAGAGAGAGTTGGAAAACTAAGTAGCCACATAAGGGTAAATGAGAGGGAAAATCAGGAAGAGACATGTAAAAAAGACAGCAGGTGAGGGGAAATCTTAGATAGTAAAAAATAGGGAAAAATTATAGAGGAAAGGGAGGAAGGAAGGAAATGAAGAAAGAGAGAGAGAGAGCGCATTCTGGCAAGAGAGAGAGATAGAGAGCTGACAAAGCATAAAACAAGGAAAGAAACGAGGAAACGAGCTTGAGAGAGGAAAAAAGACAGAGATAGAAAGAGCATGTTGAGGGCTGAGGGGGTAAAGATAAGAGAACGAAAATCAGCAATTTAGGGCAAAATCAGAAGACAGAGAGATATATATTAGCAGCATTTCATGGAAAAATTAGAGAGAAAAGTTGAGAGAAGAACATGAAAGAAGTTTAAAATTGACAACGTGGAAGAAAACAAATCAAAAAATTAATGCATTTGCGTTTTTAAATTCCTTGGTGTTTTCACTTCATCTTTAATTACATGCTCTTTTTCACATGGATACACTACACCCATCGTCTTCTGCTTTCATTAGTGTCTTTGTTACTGCTCCTTGTCTCTGTGAGCTCTGATAGAAGACCGAGCATGTTTCTCTGCACATTGGAGGAGCCTACACACTGATTATCACGTTATGCAACATTAATGTGCGTGTAACCGGAGTGTGCCCCAGCATGCCCCTGTGTGTACAGAACTGGGCACACCCTACTATCATCTTAACAGCAAAAACCTGTATACCCACAGCTGTTTACATCAGCCAAGATCAGCCTTCATTAGCTGCACTGAAGTGTTCAGTGTGAATTAAATGCAGAATGACCTGATAATTCCTGATAGAAAATTACATAAAAAATACTCCCACCATTTCCTAAACCTGTCCTTATAATCTGCAGCCAGTAGGATACACTGCATTAGATATAAACCCAGCACTGTCTGAGCCTGTCCTGATAATCTGCAGTCAGTATGATACACTATAGTTAATATAAACCCAGCACTGTCTGAGCCTGTCCTGTTAATCTGCAGTCAGTAGGATACACTACATTATTTATAAACCCAGCACTGTCTGAGCCTGTCCTGATAATCTGCAGTCAGTAGGATACACTACATCATATAGAGAAACCCAGCACTGTCTGAGCATGTCCTGATTAGAGATGTCGCGAACCGTCCGCGAACTCCGGTCAGCTGACACATCCCGGCCAATCTCCAGCAGACCCTCCCTACCAGACCCTCCTACTTCCTGGACAGCATCCATGTTGACATGGATGCTGTCCAGAAAGTAGGAGGGTCTGCTGGAGATTGGCCGGGATGTGTCAGCTAACCGGAGTTCGCCACGAACAGTTCGCGAGAAGTTCGCGGACGGTTCGCGACATCTCTAGTCCTGATCATCTGCAGTCAGTAGGATACACTACATTATATATAAACCCAGCACTGTCTGATATAAACCCAGCACTGTCTGAACCTGTCCTGATAGTTTGAAGTCTGCAGGATACACTATATTTAAAATAAATCCATCACTGTCTGAGCCTGTCCTGTTAATATGCACTCTGCAAGATACACTATATTTAATATAAACCCATCACAGTCTGAGCCTGTCCTGATAATCTGCAGTCTGCAGGATACACTATATTTAAAATAAATCCATCACTGTTTGAGCCTGTCCTGTTAATATGCACTCTGCAAGATACACTATGTTTAATATAAACCCATCACAGTCTGAGCCTGTCCTGATAATCTGCAGTCAGTAGGATACACTATATTTAAAATAAATCCATCACTGTCTGAGCCTGTCCTGTTAATATGCACTCTGCAAGATACACTATATTTAATATAAACCCATCACCGTCTGAGCCTGTCCTGATAATCTGCAGTCAGTAGGATACACTATATTTAATATAAACCCATCACCGTCTGAGCCTGTCCTGATAATATGCAGTCAGTAGGATACACTATATTAGATATAAACCCAGCACTGTCTGAACCTGTCATGATAATCTGCAGTCAGTAGGATACACTGCATTATATATGCAAGCCTGTCCTGATAATATGCAGTCAGTAGGATACACTATAGTTAATATAAACCCATCACCGTCTGAGCCTGTCCTGATAATCTGCAGTCAGTAGGATACACTATATTCAATATAAACCCATCACCGTCTGAGCCTGTCCTGATAATCTGCAGTCAGTAGGATACACTATATTTAATATAAACCCATCACCGTCTGAGCCTGTTCTGATAATATGCAGTCAGTAGGACACACTATATTAGATATAAACCCAGCACTGTCTGAGCCTGTCCTGATAATATGCAGCCAGTAGGATACACTATATGAGATATAAGCCCAACACTGTCTGAGCCTGTCCTGATAATCTGCAGCCAATAGGAAACACTATATTTAATATAAACCCAGCACTGTCTGAACTTGTTCTGACAATCTGCAGTCAGTAGGATACACTATATTAGATATAAACACAGCACTGTCTGAACCTGTTCTGATAATCTGCAGCCAGGAGTTTAGCATGAATTCATTGCACAATAAAGCAATTTGTAGTGAAAGGGTTAGGAGCCACCATCTTTCCCAAGTATTTATGGGAGAATAAGCAGTGACAAGGCTGCCCACGCACACTGTTAGAAAGGAGATAATACAGGACTACAGGACTGCACCTCAAATCTCCTCTCCGGGCTATTGCACAACCATATTAATGTAGCATTTTATATACCTGCATTCACAATGGAGGGAGGGGGGCAATAACTAGGCTCTTAGAGGTTAACAGGCGGTAAAATATTTTTTATTCTCAATCAAACCAGTCTATTAGAGGAGAAGTGTAAATTAGAAGGGGGAGAAACATGGTTTCTTGACTGATAGAGGAGGGGGATCAGTGGAACGCTCAGGCTTGTTACAACCTGTCATGCAATCTGTTCTCTCAAATACTATGTATTCCTAGAGGTGTCAGGATCTGCTCATCTGCTATAGCTAGTCCTAGAGGCACCCGGATTCACATCGTTCACCATTTCCCCTAGTTTGGAGAAGCCATATTAGTCCAGTGATGCAGATACAAAATAATGACATTTGCTGTATTATCCCTTTAGAATAAGGCCTAGAACAGTATTTGGAATTGACGAGCATTTTGGAGCTGGTTCATTTTCAAATTCTAAGCTTTGCCATTACATTTACTGTAGCATTCAAATATTCAGATATTAGATATTCAAATATTGTGACAAAGAGGGTGCAGGTTCCGGGTTCAGAATTTCCGAAGCCTAACGAATCCGATATGGGTGAGACTAAGGATTCCCGAGACTAAGGATTCCCAATTTAAAGAGACACTATTAGCAGGAGAACCGCTACATGGAAATAGACTGTCCCCGTAGACCAGTGGTGTTGAACCTTCGCCCCTCCAGATGTTTTGGACTACCTCTCCCTTAATGATCTTACAGCCATACTGCTGGCAAAGCATCAAGGGAGATGTAGTCCAAAACGGGAGGGCCAAAGGTCCCCCAACCCTGCTAGAGACTAAGAACTGTAAACACTGTCTTTACTGCTCCCTTAGGACATCTCTAGTGGCTGTCACTCCAACAGTCAGTAGAGGTGCTTCCTGTTACGGTCCTGCAGTCTTTGCATACTGTGTATGAGGACTCCAAGTGCTTCTCATAGCAATACATTGAAATATTGCACCTCAATGAGGACATACTGATTGGTGCAGTAAGTTAGACTACCAAAGCTTATCTCTGGTGCAGCTTCTGCAGCAAGGTACTGAATGTACAAGGTTCAGAATGGCAAGGTACTGAAGGTAAAATAAATGAATTTATTTTAGTATTACAAGGGGATGGGGCTGTTAATCTAAATAGCAAGGAGTATATCTGCATGGTTTTATTTTTAATGTTAAAGTCCTCCTTTAAAGGAACACTCAAAACAAATTCCGCTGCAGTGGTTTTCGTGTCAGGAGTGTCCTGGCGCTGTCCTACGATAAGATGCCAAACATTTTAACACAGTTTAACAACTTACTTGGATCCCAATGGGTGCCTGGACCACACCCACTGCTACCGGTGTTCAACAGCTCTATAGAACAAAGCGGTGCCATGCAGGACTGCAATCATTGGCTGACAGCACCAACTGCATGCTTTCAACCAATGAGTCAATTTCTACATCAGTTGTGCTTTGCATTACAGAGACATCTGGCTTATGTAGCGAGGGCGCCCAGTGGAATCCAAGTAAATTGTCAAACCATTCTGAAATGGCTTTACATTTAACATGAAACAGCACCAGGACACTCCTAGCACCATAACCAGGTACAGTGTGATGCAGTGGCTATGGTGCATGGAGTGTTTCTTTAATACCTCTCAAAGTTTCCTCACTTAAAATATCTGACTTTTATCCTAGAGAGGCCAAAACTATTTCATCCTCGAGAACTAACAGTGCATCTCTTCGATATAAGGATATTCAATTTTTTATTTTTTTTTATATTCCTGGTCGAGCTTATCTCAGAACCAACATCATCTCTTACCTAACGAATCCCTAAACTAGGCTCAACATTTCCTAAACAGGACGGAAGTTTCCAGACCCAGCCGTCATGGTCCCTAGGCCATCCCAGTGTCGCACAATACTGCATTGTGAGACAGTGTGTTATTACAGTGACCATACTGATGTTGTGAGTCACTCTTGGCTTGAAGTCTATAACGCTGACCTTTGGCTTGATCCTTGCTATAGTGTCTCCCTTTGCTCCTTTTGACCTCAACCTGTCTTAAGGTTATTCCCATTCTGCGTGCAGACATTCGGCAACTCTCTGTAGTTTCTGCCAGCACGGCCATTCTAAGGGCCGATATGTGCTTCTGTCCGGTCTAGCTTGGTTTGTGTGTTAGACTAGCCTTGACACCAACATTATGTACGTATGTAGTTTTCAATATTCTAAACTCAACATATCATACCTTACTAATCCAGAGAATTAACCTTCATTACAAACATTTTGCATTAAACTTCCCACAGGGGTACCAGCATCCAAAATCTGTCTACTGACACTAGAATCATGTCCTCTGCCAAAATGCTTTTCTGAATCCCACTGATACACAAAGGGTTAAACGAAGGTGCCATTGTCACTGGGTTTTTTTTAATAAGCCTTGGGGTACCAAGGCGAATATCAGCAAATTAACTACTCCTAGAGATGCAGGAATTAACATACTCTACCAGACAAATTTCAGGGGTGTCAGACTGAGTCGCAAAAGGTGTCAGATTCAATGTAGCCTCATCAAATTCTATACATACAGGCACGGAGCAATGCTGAATTCACATGCACTCACACTGCAGCTACTGAAGGTTGACTTGCATAGTGTGAGCAGGCAACGTTTACTCATGTTGTGCAAATACTTGAAAGGATGCAGCTTAACAGAAAATAAAACACAGCTAAGAATTTCCTTGCACAGTACATTGTAGTGGTTATGGTGTTTAAAGTGTCTGAAGCCTAGTTCAAGGCTGAGCAATATAACTCTGCTTGCTCCTTATGGTAGTACTAATATTACCAGTCTAATGGTACCAGGCTCAGCTTTACTAATATTACCAGTCTGACGGTGCCATGCTCAGTAATTCTAATATTACCAGTCTAATGGTACCAGTCTAATACTAACATTACCAGTCTAATCGCACCAGGTAACAGTACTAATATTAGTACTAATGGTACCAGTCTAATGGTACCAGGCTTACCAATAGTAATATTACCAGTCTAATGGTGCCAGGCTCAGCAATACTAACATTACCAATCTAATGGTACCAGGCTCAGCAATACTAATATTACCAGTCTAATGGTACCAGTCTTAGAAATACTAACATTACCAGTCTAGTGGTGCCAGGCTTAGTAATACTAACATTACCAGTCTTATGGCGCCAGGCTAGGAATACTAATATTACCAGCCTAATGGTGCCAGGTTTAATAGTACTAATATTACCAGTATAATAGTACCAGGCTCAGCAATACTAATATTACCAGTCTAATGGTGCCAGGCTCAGCAATACTTATATTACCAGTCTAATGGTGCCAGGCTCAGCAACACTTATATTACCAGTCTAATGGTGCCAGGCTCAGTAATACTAATATTACCAGTCTAATGGTACCGGGTTTAGCAATACTAATATTACCCGTACAATGGTGCCAGGCTCAGCAATACTAATATTACCAGTCTAATGGTGCCAGGCTCAGCAATACTTATATTACCAGTCTAATGGTACCGGGTTTAGCAATACTAATATTACCAGTCTAATGGTGCCAGGCTCAGCAATACTTGTATTACCAGTCTAATGGTGCCAGGCTCAGCAACACTTATATTACCAGTCTAATGGTACCGGGTTTAGCAATACTAATATTACCAGTCTAATGGTGCCAGGCTCAGCAACACTTATATTACCAGTCTAATGGTACCGGGTTTAGCAATACTAATATTACCAGTCTAATGCTGCCAGGCTCAGTAATACTAATATTTCCAGTCTAATGGTGCCAGGCTCAGCAATACTAATATTACCAGTCTAATGGTACCAGGTTTAGCAATACTAATATTACCAGTCTAATGGTACCGGGCTCAGCAATACTAATATTACCAGTCTAATGGTGCCAGGTTTAGCAATACTAATATTACCAGTCTAATGGTACCGGGCTCAGTAATACTAATATTACCAGTCTAATGGTACCAGGCTCAGTAATACTAATATTACCAGTCTAATGGTGCCAGGCTCAGCAATACTAATATTACCAGTCTAATGGTACCAGGTTTAGCAATACTAATATTACCAGTCTAATGGTACCGGGCTTAGCAATACTAATATTACCAGTCTAATGGTGCCAGGCTCAGCAATACTAATATTAAAAGTCTAATGGTACCGGGTTTAGCAATACTAATATTACCAGTCTAATGGTACCATGCTCAACAATACTAATATTACCCGTATAATGGTGCCAGGCTCAGCAATACTAATATTACCAGTCTAATGGTGCCAGGCTCAGTAATACTAATATTACCAGTCTAATGGTGCCAGGCTCAGCAATACTAATATTACCAGTCTAATGGTGCCAGGCTCAGCAATACTAATATTACCAGGCTAATGGTGCCAGGGTCAGTAATACTAATAATACCAGTCTAATGGTGCCAGGCTCAGTAATATTAATATTAGCAGTCTAATGGTGCCAGGCTCAGTAATACTAATATTACCAGTCTAATGGTACCAGGCTAGCAATACTAATATTACCAGTATAATGGTGCCAGGCTCAGCAATACTAATATTACCAGTCTGATGGTACCAGGCTCAGTAATCCTAATATTACCAGTCTAATGGTGCCAGGCTCAGCAATACTAATATTACCAGTCTAATGCTGCCAGGCTCAGTAATCCTAATATTACCAGTCTAATACTGCCAGGTTCCGTAATCCTAATATTACCAGCCTAATGGTGCCAGGCTCAGCAATACTAATATTACCAGTCTAATGGTACCAGGCTCAGCAATACTAATATTACCAGTATAATGGTACCACGCTAGCAATACTAATATTACCAGTATAATGGTACCAGGCTAGCAATACTAATATTAGCAGTCTAATGGTGCCAGGCTCAGTAATACTAATATTACCAGTCTAATGGTACCAGGCTCAGCTATACTAATATTACCAGTCTAATGGTGCCAGGCTCAGTAATACTAATATTACCAGTCTAATGGTACCAGGCTAGCAATACTAATATTACCAGTATAATGGTACCAGGCTCAGCTATACTAATATTACCAGTCTAATGGTGCCAGGCTCAGTAATACTAATATTACCAGTCTAATGGTACCAGGCTAGCAATACTAATATTACCAGTATAATGGTACCAGGCTCAGCTATACTAATATTACCAGTCTAATGGTGCCAGGCTCAGTAATACTAATATTACCAGTCTAATGGTACCAGGCTAGCAATACTAATATTACCAGTATAATGGTACCAGGCTCAGCTATACTAATATTACCAGTCTAATGGTGCCAGGCTCAGTAATACTAATATTACCAGTCTAATGGTACCAGGCTAGCAATACTAATATTACCAGTAAAATGGTACCAGGCTAGCAATACTAATATTAGCAGTCTAATGGTGCCAGGCTCAGCAATACTAATATTACGAGTCTAATGGTACCAGGCTCAGCTATACTAATATTACCAGTCTAATGGTGCCAGGCTTAATAATACTAATATTACCAGGCTAATACTAATTTTACCAGGCTAATACTAATTTTACCAGTCTGATGGTACCAGGCTCAGCTATACTAATAATACCAGTCTAATGGTACCAGGCTAATACTAATATTACCAGTCTAATGGTACCAGGCTCAGCTTTACTAATATTACCAGTCTGACGGTGCCATGCTCAGTAATTCTAATATTACCAGTCTAATGGTACCAGTCTAATACTAACATTACCAGTCTAATCGCACCAGGTAACAGTACTAATATTAGAAGACTAATGGTGCCAGGCTCATAAGTACTAATATTACTAGCCTACTAATCTATCATCAATATTACCAGTCTAATGGTACCAGGCTTACCAATAGTAATATTACCAGTCTAATGGTGCCAGGCTCAGCAATACTAACATTACCAATCTAATGGTACCAGGCTCAGCAATACTAATATTACCAGTCTAATGGTACCAGTCTTAGAAATACTAACATTACCAGTCTAGTGGTGCCAGGCTTAGTAATACTAACATTACCAGTCTTATGGCGCCAGGCTAGGAATACTAATATTACCAGCCTAATGGTGCCAGGTTTAATAGTACTAATATTACCAGTATAATAGTACCAGGCTAGCAATACTAATATTACCAGTCTAATGGTACCAGGCTCAGTAATACTTATATTACCAGTCTAATGGTACCAGGGTAGCAATACTAATATTACCAGTTGCATGGTGCCAGGCTAATACTAATATTCCCAGTCTAATTGTGTCAGGCTCAACTATACTAATATTCCCAGTCTAATGGTGCCAGGCTCAGCTATATTAATATTACCTGTCTAATGGGGCCAGGCTTAGTAATACAAACATTACCAGTCTCATGGTGCCAGGCTAATACTAATATTAGCAGTCTAATGGTGCCAGGCCCACCAATATGAATATTACCAATATAATAGCAACAGGCTCAGCTATACTAATATTACCAGTCTTATGGCGCCAGGCTAATACTAATATTACCAGCCTAATGGTACCAGGCTAGCAATACTAATATTACCAGTCTGATGGTATCAGGCTAGCAATACTACTATTACCAGTCGCACGGTGCCAGGCTAATACTAATATTAAAAGTCTAATGGTGCCAGGCTTAGTAATACAAACATTACCAGTCTAATGGTGCCAGGCTAATACTAATATTCAGCCTAATGGTGCCAGGCTCAGTAATATTAGTATTACCAGTCTCATGGTGCCAGGCCCACCAATACGAATATTACCAGTCTAATGGTACCAGACTAGCAGTACTAATATTACCAGTCTAATGGTACCAGGCTCAGTAATACGAATATTACCTGTCTGATGGTACCAGGCTCAGTAATACTAATATTACAAGTCTAATGGTGCCAGGCTAGCAATACTAATATTACAATCTGATGGTGCCAGGCTCAGTAATACTAATATTACCAGTCTAATGGTACCAGGCTCAGCTATACTAATATTACCTGTCTGATGGTACCAGGCTCAGTAATACTAATATTACAAGTCTAATGGTACCAGGCTAGCAATACTAATATTACCAGTATAATGGTGCCAGGCCCACCAATACTAATATTACCAGTCTTATGGTACCAGGCTCAGCTATACTAATATTACCAGTCTGATGGTACCAGGCTCAGCTATACTAATATTATCAGTCTAATGGTGCCAGGCTCAATAATACTAATATTACCAGTCTAATGTTACCAGGCTTAGTAATACTAATATTACCAGTCTAATGGTGCCAGGCTAATACTAATATTACCAGTCTAATGGTACCAGACTAGCAGTACTAATATTAGAAGACGAATGATGCCAGGCTCAGCTATACTAATATTGACAGTCTAATGGTACCAGGCCTTGTAATACTAATATTACCAGTCTAATGGTACCAGGCTCAGCAATACTAATATTACCAATCTAATGGTACCAGTCTAATACTAACATTACCAGTCTAATCGCACCAGGTAACAGTACTAATATTAGAAGACTAATGGTGCCAGGCTCATAAGTACTTATATTACTAGCCTACTAATCTATCATGTCCTAATGGTGCAAGGCTTAACACTACTAACTATTCCAGTTCTCATGGTGTAAAGTGTAACACTGCTAATCTATCCAGTCCCAATGTTACAAGGCATATCACTATTAATTGATCCTAATCTAATGGTGCAAACTAACAACACTAACCTAGCCAGATATCATAGTGCAAGGTGTGATACTACTAATCCATCAGGTCCTAATAGTCCAGGGCATAACAATATTAACTGAGCGAGTCCTTGGGGTGACACAAAAAGCCAATCAGACATTGCTCGTGCCACACAGTAAAATGCCAATCCTAACACTCATTATACATCAATAGAGACTTAACCAGTCAGGCTAACGAGGTCAAATATAGTAAGGACCTGCATTTTCTTAAATGCTATGTAATACTGTACCAATAATAACAAGTTCTGATTGTTTAAATCAGGGGTAGGCAACCTTCCTCACTATAGATGTTGTGGACTACAACTCCCATGATGCTGGTACAGGCATAAAGCAGGCAAACCATCAGGGGCGATGTAGTACGTCCATAAGATCTGGAGTGACGAAGGTTGCCTACCCCTGATGTGAATGTTCCTAATCTAAACATTTCTACTGGGGCCAGGCCAATCAGTATCAATATTTCTGGTAATCATCGTAAAATCATCCCCAATATTGCTTATTGATAAGCCAGCATCAGCAACAGTAAGTCAGGGTCTCCTAATGATGTCAGGCTCAAAAGTATTGTCACTAAAGCTGACACGCTTGACTAATTTAACCGACCTTATTTTAGCAAGTCAGCAAAGCTGTGATAAACCTCCACTAGCTGAGCCAGCTGCAACAACGTGAATCTAACCTAATAGACCCTGGATCAGTATAAAACGACTAACTATTCCCAAATGGTGCCAGGTTCAGCAACGCCAATCTAACCAGTTCCAACAACCTGATTCAGTACTATTGCAATTAATCATAGCAACAAAAATTCATCTAGTGTCAATTCTTCCAGGCTCAGCCACGATTAACAGGTTATAATGAAGCAACGATACTAGCATATTCAATTTTAAAAGTGCTAGATTTAAAAAAAAAAAAGAATGGCTAGCCTTAAAGGAACACTCCAGGAACCATACCAACTTCATTCCAATAAAGTTATTATGGTGCCCCAAGTGTTCTACTAATGGTTTTAGAAATTTTAATCGGTTGTAATGGTGTCATTCTCAGCAATGCTAATCTTGCCTGCTCTTATGTTGCTATGTTCATAATTACTGAATTAAACAATAATAAGCTTTTACTGTGTTACCTATACCAAGATTACTGGCCTCAATAGTCACAAAGATTTCCCGGCCAATACCCTTTGCATCTGTAGTACATGGACTCGAGGTATCTCTTTCCTCACCAGTTTAAGAGGAACTCTAAAAGAACCGGTCTACCATGGTCAATGTCAACCACTACAGCTAATACTGACTACTTGGATATAGAGAACGCTGAGGTTTTTGTTTGTGTCTTATTGCTACGAGGAACTTATGGAACATTTAATGATAGGCTGTTGTGTTCAAACCTCTAAAGTAGCAAGAAATTCCCTTCCTCAATATCTTACGTCATAACGAAGGGATAGTACATAGGGACATCCAACAGATCTTAGTGACACCTTCATTGAATGCCATTTCATCATCCAACACATCACCAGTGTCATATGTGGCTATGAGATGGTTCCCCTCTAGTAGAAGCTGTAGAAAATGTAGGATTATAGAAGTCTACCAAACCCTTGCTATTTGCTAGTTCTACTGGTTCTGGGTTGTCTTTAGGCCCCCCCTCTCCATACACTTTCTTACCAGCAGCATCACTCAGTCTGGGGGCAGTCAGTAGCTGGTCCAGTATCCTCCCCAAGAGAGCTTCTGGGGTATCTGGGGCAAGTAGGATTCCAGGTGGAGTAATAGTCCAGCCACCAGATCCTGGAGGTGGAGTGAGTGGTTCCGAGGGGGACAGTTCATCAGATGAAAAGGAAAGAGGGGAGCGCAATCCATCTGGTAACTCCAGGCAGTCTTGGGAAGGAGGAGGAGGGGCTCCGCTGGGGTCTTCTTCACGACTTTCTCCTCCAGGGGAATCACTGGGGGAATCCCTTAAGAAAGAGGGCAAGATTTTGGAAACACTTTGCCTCCTGTGCAAATGTCTAGGACCAGAGAGATGAGAGCTTTGCTTCTTTAAGAATTTTTCCAAAGGCTTCATGGTGTGAGAGGGGAAAAAAATGAGGTGCAATGGGGGCAAAGCCCCCCAAAAGTACAAAAGCAGTAGTAGATAGTGGAAATTTTCAGAATCCTCCCAAAAATTAAGCACTGGAACAGGAGAGCTGAAATGGGGGCAATACAGAGAGAGGGTAAATTGAGTAGAATATTATTAAATTGAGTAGAAAATATTTTAAATTAAAATGTGGTGTTTCAGGAAGATGTTGCACATACTTAAAATACTCAAGCCTGGGGCTCTAATCTACAAGAAAAAAAAATTCTTATTTTTTTTTTAGTAGGGTGGAGAATTGAGAATTAAGAAAAATAGTAATAAAAACTAAATGTAAATGTAAAAAAAGAAGTACTGGCTCAATGTCACAGTTCCCATGGATTGGCAATGGGAAAGGTTACTGCAAAAAGGAGGGCATGCTTCCTTGGGGTGGGCAAATTCTCTAATAAAAAGGGGTTCTTGTGGTGCTGCCAATTTTTTATTTTTTTTTAAATATATATAAAGGCTTACTTTAGGGTCTGTCTTCCTTAATATCCAGGCAGGGACATGTGCCTTCTTATCCTAAACTCTCCATGTCTGCAATGAGCAGGTGCCTGCAGCTCTCAGACCACTAGATGGACAGCAGTCACAGCACATGTCCTCTCTCCGCACAGTCAGCAGCAGTGTCCCAGGCACTCTCTCCGCAGCGGTCTCTCCTTGACGTCTAGTCGACTGTCTGCTTTTCACCTGCCGTGATCGCAGTCTCCTCTCTCTCCCCTGGCACCCCTCTTCTCCCCTCTGCCTCCCTCTCCTCTTCTTCTTCTGTCCCCCCTCCTCCTTTGTCCCCCCTCCACCCTCTCTTTCCTTGCTTCCCAGAGGTGGGGGTGTAAGAGAGGGATGGTTGGGGGTTGTATTAAGGGGAGCAGGAGCGATGCTAAATTAGAAGCAGTGAGAGAAGACAGCAGTGTGTGTGTGAAAATCAATGTGCCCACCCCTTGTGTTTCCAATGATCCCCCTGTAATCCCCTTTGCCTGGGTAATGATGGGGGGTGTGAGCTCCCCCCACCACAGGTTTTAAGGAGGGTCTCCCTTCTGTATGCAGTGCTGGGAGAGGAGGGTCCCAGTGTGTGTGATGAGAGGTCCCTAGCAAGCAGTGTGAAGGAGGCAGGGGCAGTCACTGTGTGCATGCGTCTGTCCCTCCCCCTCTCTGGATGGGTCCCCTCCCTTAATATTTACCTGTCCCTCTCCTGTTCTATAGCAGGGTGCTTCCCCTCTTCCTCCTGGTAACTTGCCCCTTCCTCACCCTCTGCCCCCCTACCAACAGCCTGCTCTCATTCAGACACACTCTGCTCCCCCCCTCCCCTTTAATTATTCCTGATTTTGTGTCTTTTCTGATGAACCTCCCCCCGCCCCCCTTCACCCTATACTACCAGTATCAAGATTTCCTCAAGAAAATCTAGTGTGTGCCTCCTTCCTTACCTTTCCCCTCTCTCTGCTAGATCCAGGTATGAATCACCTCTGGGGAAGGGATTACACTCCTCCCTGTGTCTGCTGTGTGCAATGTGGATTTGGGGTTCATAGTCCAGCTGGGGAGTGGAGTGACAATATCTGCATGCTGGAGATATAGAGTGGGTTTATATGGAACACTAGGAGGGACAATATGACTTCCAGGGACATCTGGTAAAAATAATAGTACATGGTATATATGGAGTAATAGGGGGAGTTATAGGGAGAGGTTATATGGAGTAATAGGAGGAAATTTTTTTATTAAATTTTCTTACAACAAATTACAAAACAGTGTTCAATGTATCAAAAACATATACAAAAATACAATTAAAAACAAAATGTCATGTCTATATTTTCCCAACAATCTGTATTTTGTTCTTTTACATATACATCTTTTATGTCTTTAATTATCCGATTAATCACAGAGTCCGTAGTTAAAATAATTTGTTTTGATGATTTTAAACACCTCGCTTGCCATAAATGATATATAACAATACAATTAATTACATATAAAGTGCATTTGTTAATCTTATCTGCCCAATTGAAATTTCCATATACTAATTCAGCATAGGACTGTCCTTTAAATTTCGGTATTTTAAGAAGTGTGGACATTTCTGACCATATTGCTAAACTAAAGGGACAGTCACACAAAAAATGAGACATTGTTTCTAACATCCCTGAACATTCTTCCCTCGGACAATTTCGTTCCTCAAGTTTTTTAAATTTCAAATTAGAGCGAACGTATAATTTTCCTTGAAAACTAAGCCAAATAACATCTCTCAATTTAACTGGTATTCTCGTGCTAGTAACATTCTGAATGGCTTTTTTCATTAAGGTATTAGGGCAGTCTTTTAAAACCAACTGGGCACTATAGTACTTATTTAACAGAACATGATATAATTGTTTTCTATCTAGCCCAGTGATATCTTCATATGAAATTTGCCATCTCAGCAACAACTTTATACATTGCTGAGCATATAGAGAGCAATGTTTAACCTTACCAGACAATCTTTTGATCTTTACACCTCTTGTCCAAACTCCAACAAAGTGATTAATTTGGTTTTTATATAAGATTCCCCATAAATCTGTTCTACCAGATTTAAAAAAACTTAAATTCTTGGTTATAAACAAGAGATTGTAAAAAAGTTCTGGACACAACATACCTAATCCTCCATCTTTCCTATGGAGATAGGAAATGTTACGTTTAACAATATTTAAACGATTACCCCATATTAGCTGGAACAACAAACCGGTTATCTTAACCACTAATTGATCAGGTAATGGAAAGACAAAACTTGTATAAATAAAAATGGGGAATAAAAATCGTTTGATAGCTTGAATTTTCTTTTGGTAAGACCATTTCCAATTTTTCCATTTGTGTATTTTTTCTGAGAATATTTTAAATTTATCATCCCAATTTCTCTGGGCAATGTCTTCAACACATCCATATGTAATACCCAACACTTTGATTGTTTTATCCTTTCTTTTAAAAGGGATTTGAAAAGCTTCTGCATTATCCCCCAGCCACAATGCTTCACTCTTCTCCATATTAACCATAGAGTTGGAAATTTGAGAATAACTTTTAAGTTCCCTTTGTAACAATTGGTTATCAGCTTCTGATTTCAAAAAAACAGAAATATCATCTGCATAAGCACAAACTTTGACTCTCTCGGAAACACCTTCTACTTTCACTTCTAGGCCTTGAAAATTATGGTTTCCTTTTATTTTCCTTAATAGAGGGTCAATGCTAAAAACATAAAGCAAAGGACTTATAGGACAACCCTGACGAACTCCAGATTCAACCTGAAAAGAGTCTCCCAAACTACCATTAATTAAAGGGAAACATATTGCTTCTTTATATAATATCTTCAACCATTTAATAAAAGTATTAGGAATGCCATATCTCCGTAAAGTCTCAAATAAAAATTCATGATGTACTCGGTCAAATGCTTTGGACTGGTCTAGTCCTACCAAATAAATACCTTCTCTCTGCTGCTTAGCGTATTCCACCACCTCTCTTACTAGCAACAGTGTATCCTGTATGCTACGATTCTTAACTGCACACGACTGACACGGACTTACCAAAATTTCAGCCACCGCACTAAGCCTCATAAACATGACTTTTGCAAGAATTTTGTAATCAGTATTCAATAATGATAACGGACGCCAGTTCTTTAGTTCATTCAAATTACCACTTTTAGCTAAAAGTACCAAGACTGAGGCATACTGTGAGGGCGACAACTGTCCCAGAGTTAGCACTTCATTATATAGCATTACAAGATCCGTTACCAAAAGATCTAAAAACACTTTATAAAACTCTGCAGTTATCCCATCCAATCCTGGACTTTTCTTCCCAACTAATGATTGAATACTATTTCTAACTTCTTCCTCTGTTATAGGCTTAACCATGGTCTCAGCATCCACTGCATTTAATACTGGATTATCAACATCTTGCAAATATTTTACAATATTTTCATTTGCAATAGGCTGTCTTGCAAACAATTGTTTAAAATATTTTGTGACAATATTTATAATGTCCTTACTTTCTGTTTGTGTTTCACCATCTTGATCTACCAGTCCTGCTATGGCTTTCTTACATACTCTTTCCTTACACGCTTGAAAAGGATCTGGGGCTGTGAAACCCCAACTATCGAATTCATTTTCAGCTTTTAGAGAGATCATACGGTCATATTGAAGTTTTTTCATTTTATCCTTAACTTGATTAATGCTATTTGAATTCACAGTCTCACCATTATTGACCAAGGAATATAATCTACTAAGTCTAAGTCTTAGAGCAAGATATTGCATATATTGACGATTTCCTTCTTTTCTAGCTTTTGATTTAAAAAAAACTTTTAATATCTTTTTTTGTTTGTTCCCACCAACTCGACATCGTGTCGTATAAGCACTGTGTGGTTTTTCGATCTTCATAAAAAGTAATGAATTCTTGCTTAACTTTATCATTATCAAGTATTCTTGAGTTTAGTTTCCAGATACCTTTCCCATATATTATTCCTTCCTTTACCTTTAAGGACAGACTAATCATATCATGATCTGAAAACTCTACCAAGACTAAATTATATCTAAAAGATGAAGTTTGATTTTTTACATAGAGTCTATCTATACGACTTGCCCACCTCCCTTTATGATATGTAAACCCTCGCTGTGTAGGATAATTATATTTAAAAGTATCAATCAGACCAGCTTGACTGATCAGAGTTTTTAGAAAGTTTTCATCATATTTTAAATTTTTATAATTACTATTTCGATCTTCATTATTTACCACACCGTTAAAATCACCTCCCATAATTAACACTTTGGATGTGAAACAATATGGTTTTACACTTAAAAACACTTTTTTCCTA